ACGTGGAAGCCAATTGAATGGCTACGTAAGGCTGGTTGCCAGATAGCCATTTTAATCTGCAGCACCTCCGATGGCCTTAAAGACAGCAAGGCTGCTTTGTATCAGGTCCATGTGGGTATTTTATTTGCTCTCATTAGTAAGGTTTCAGGCAAACAAACAACTTCTGCAGACTCCTTTTCATTTGAAGTGGTGTTTACTAATGACCTATCTTAAACTCATGGGTATATAGGGAAGAATTGAAATCACAAAGATTTCTACAGCTCAAGTTATCTGCTAGACTTCCCCACCCCCCAAAAAACCATGATCTGTTCAAAGCAGCAACTATGTCCTTCAAGACATTGATTTGTTTCTCTTTCGTTGCTTCAAACATGAGGTAAAGGGGATGGGCACGCTCGAAATCTCATTGCTTTAACTTGTTCAAGTTAATTCAGTAGCCACAAAGACAAGATACAGAGAAAGTTTCTATCCTATAAAACAGAAAAGGGGAATTTTTGAAACCTAATAAAAAGCAAATGAGATTCATAAATTGAATTCCATTCATTGTAGCTTTAAAAGGACGACAGGGTTGGAGGCCCAGTGTTGATAATACTGTGCTCAATGCTTCATCAGCTATTTCGACTAATGGAACTTTTAAAAAGAATCCATTAATGAAAGGTCCAACTAATTAGTAGCACAGGAAGCAATAAACAAAACAGCAATTAGAAAGAAAAGTGGAGAGTCACACGGTGCCCCTTGACCTCAGAAAATATTTTGTAATTTATATAAACATTAACTGAATGATTCAATGAGCTGAGCTTCTGGGGAATAGCCATTCCTTCCAACTGCTGGATTTGAGGCTAGTTTTGAAACGGCCAAATTGCTTGGGAGTGGAAGCATAATTGTGGCATTTCAGTTGCTGTCATATGACTGAATAACATTCCTTTCCAATTGGCTGGACTTGTTTTTTTTGTGTGTGTGTGTGTATTATTAAAGAGCTGGGAGCTGAATCACCAGAATGATGTCATAAAAGGATCCTGTATTCCAGAGCTCTCTTCTATATTGCTTTTTCAAAGAGGATGCAATCTTTTTCCCAATAGAAGAAATTGACCGGAAAAAGGTAGAGGTGACATCAGATCTAAGGTAAAGAGTCTTCTGCCTCTAAGAACAGGACAAAAAGTACCTAGCTGAACAAGAAGGACAGAGACAAGGAACTCGTAACTGGGAAAATTACATACTGGCTGAAGACAAAAAAGACCCATCAATTTATGTGCATTGGTGAAGGGACTCACTATAGAAGAGTTGGTTACAAATTATCATCTCATTACAGTTTAGTGCAACAAAGAACCACCTTCAGAAATCTGGGGACAAAAACCTACTCTCACCCTGCGCTGATTTGATGCAATCACGCTTGGCAAGTTGGTTTAACCCAAGCTGGCCTCACAAGGTAAAAGTCAAGCCCAATTCTGCAGACTTTGCCGCTCTGAAGAGCATCCTGTCCCATCAAGGCAACTGATAAATTGCCCCCAGATATGGCTCTTATTTGCTTTTCTCAATGTATTGGGTTTTTCAGATGTTTTGGGAGATAGCAAAGGGGGAAAACGCCACTTAACAGAATAACGGAATTGGACGGGACCTTAGAGGTCTTCTAGTCCAACCCCTTGCTCAAGCGGGAGACCCTATGCTATTTCAGACAAATGGCTGTACAATCTCTTCTTAAAAACTTCTGCACACCCACAACTTCTGGAGGCAAGCCGTTCCATTGGTTAATTGTTCTGTCAGGAAATTTCTCCTTAATTCCAGGTTGCTTCTCTCCTTGATTAATTTCCACCCATTGCTTCTTGTCCTGCCCTCAGGTGCTTTGGAGAATAGCTTGACTCCCGCTTCTTTGGGGCAGCCCCTGAGATATTGGAAGACTGCTGTCATGTCTCCCCTGGTCCTTCTTTTCATTAAATTAGACATACCCAGTTCCTGCAACCGTTCTTCCAATGCTTTAGCCTCCAGTCCCCTCATCATCCTGGTTGCTCTTCTCTGCACTTTTTCTGAGAGTCTCAACGTCTTTTTTTATATCGTGGCTTGAATAAACCTGTAAACAGGCAGCTCCAAAATCAGTTTTACAATCCTCCCGCCGACTCTCTCCTACAGGCAGTCCCCACCTCATTCCCTCTCTTCACTTCTAGAATCCCCCACGGGCAGCATCTTTTAACTGCGTAACATCTGCAATCAGCTCTGAGTGCCCCACGAGCAGACTAGGCTGGCTGCCAACATACCAGTTTCCTAATGCAGTCAGAACATGTGATTTCATCTGGACTGCAGGATTTCACTGTAATAACAAAAAAAAAAAAAAAATCTGATGGAAAGAAGACGACTGTCATGCGCCGGGAAAGATTACAGTGGGTCTGCACCTCGAGATCCTCTGCAAGTTTCAAATGACGGATCAATCGGAGGCCAGATGTGGTACAGATGAGTTCTTTCAAATTAATCCCCCCCTCCCCCGAACAAGTCAAAGGAAAATCATGACAACTCCCGATCGGTTAAATCCAAGGTTATTTGTCAGAAGAGGCAACTGAATCTTGCTGAATCTTAGCCCATGGTCAATATATTGTAAACTCTTGAGGAAGCCTGGAAAAGCCGCCACTCGTCCAAGCCTGCTATCAGGTGTCTGCATAAGCGTGCAAGATTAAATCAAGCGACTTCTGCTTTTCCGTTTGCTAATAATCTAACAAATCTTTCACTAGAATTCTCTTCTGCCCTGCATTCTTGGCCTGATTTATTTAGGGAATCTGATACGGCAATCCAAGAATCCGACAGCATTCACATACAAATGATTTTCAAAGTTCTTATCCAAACATTATTTAAAGCATGCATTTCTATGTCATCCCACCCAATTTCCACTCAGTGAGAACATCACAAAACCTCTTCTTTTAAGGACGTCTTCAAAGCCATAAATGGTGCCTGTGAAGATGGCTCAAACATCCCTGCAAACTCCTATTTTCCTTTCCACCATTTGCATTTCTGACCCCTTTTTTCCCCTATAATGCCCTCTTTCTGTACATTCCTGGCATATTTCCCACCTAACAACACACTCAAGAGACTCCCAAGTCTTAAGGAGGTCTCTAAGGCTATTTTCCCACAGTTATTAATGATTCAAATAAGTCTGACCACCTGCCATTTCGGTTTCCCTTTTGTATGTCTGTCTGGAGAAATCCAGAAAAAAAAGCTACAGATCAAAACAGAAAAATAGATCCCAGAGAAAGATGCAAAGGAAGCTTTTCTCAGCTAAAAAAATGTGGCTTTGCTCTTTTTCTTTTTTAAACTTTCTGCCTTGCATTCTCACTACCGAGAGACTATGCTGACATCAACTGCCCCAACTTCAAAATCTTATACGAAGAAGGAAGTATCTGATACAAAATCAGCAGATGTTGACAAACCTTTAAGGATAGGAGAAAACAAGGCGAGCTACTTGTAATACAACAACAACAACAACTCTGTGAAGAAAGCTATAGGCTTAGAGAAAACACAGGCTGGACACTCTTAAGACTTCTATCAGGTTGAAGATGTCAAAGACTATTTTCTCTGCCAGATATAGGATTAAATCATAAGAAACATGATGAGAAACATCTTGATATTAGAATAGAATAGAATAACAGAGTTGGAAGGGACCTTGGAGGTCTTCTAGTCCAACCCCCTGCCTAGGCAGGAAACCCTACACCCGTGATGGCGAACCTATGGCATGCGGGGGTGGGGAAGGCCATTTTCGCCCTCCCCAGGCTCCAAGAAAGCCTCTGGAACCTGGGGAGGGCGAAAAACGGGCCTACCAGGCCCACCGTGCCAACGCGTGCCAAAAGTGGGGGGAGCACCGGGAGGGATCATGCATGCATGCACGGGGGGGCGGGGCGCATATAATTATAGATGTGGGCACACACTCGCGCGACCCCCCCACTTTTGGCACGTGACGGCAAAAAGGTTAGCCATCACTGCCCTACACCATTTCAGTCAAACGGTTATCTTCTTGAAAACCTCCAGTGTTGGAGCATTCACAACTTCTGGTGGCAAGTTGTTCCACTGAATAATTGTTTTCACTGTCAGGAAATTTCTTAGTTCCAAGTTGCTTCTCTCCTTGATTAGTTTCCACCCGTTGCTTCTTGTCCTGCCTTCAGGTGCTTTGGAGAATAGCTTGACTCCCTCTTCTTTGGGGCAGCCCCTGAGAGATTGGAACACTGCTATCATGTCTCATTAAAAGCAGTTTGACTGTAAAACCAACTCTCATCTAGGATAGTGGACTGTCCCTCAGTATAGTAGTCTTTATATGAATGAAACAGAGGAACCTGCAGCCTTCCGGGTAAATTGCAATTTTCTATTGTTCCAGGCAGTGTAGTAAATGGCCAAAGGTCTTACGAGTTGTAGTTTGAAAACATCTGGAGAACCGGAGATTGTTCATCCTTAAAGAATATGAAGGCTGGTTCGTATTGGTTGGGAACACACTTCCTCTAGCTTTCCTGAATTTTTTTTTTTTTAAATACGTCTACAGTGACATAGATTTCCTATTTCTGACCTACAGGGTCACATCAAGCCTAGGCTTTCAACTGGCAGATGGCAAAAAAGAACAGAAGGACATCCTGAACACTAGGCTTACAAGCGACAAAATAGAATCAAAAATGCCCAGGCCAGCAAATCTTATTGCCCAGAATACCTCGTGTACGCGTCATCCTGCTACTTCCAAAAAGGAACTTGCACAAGATGGCCAAGTAGCTTTGCTAATGACAAGGAAGTCCCTGAAGCATGTGTGATTGTTTGCCACTCATTTCTAGATGATTACATATTAGTAAAAATGCTGCCAGGTAAGAGAAAATCCTTCCAGAGCAACAGAAAAAGAAAAAAAGGAAAATACAAGATTGCCACAAAAAAAGAAACAGTTGTTTTGAATAATTGTCAATGACATTATATCTGTATATGCGATACCAACAATTTACTGAGTCCCAGAAAGGAAAGCCGCTGTAATTAGAAAATTAAGCTTGACTTACTGGTTGAATTTCCTTGCATTTGGATGATGCATTTGGAGTCTTTGCTGGTCTCTCGGGAATTAAAAGGTCTGACCCGAACAGCTACTTTTACAGAAGCTCCTGACATTTTGATGGTCTCTTGTGTGCACTCCAGAAATTAGGTTTCAAGGACTTCTGCGGTTTCTTCTAGTGTTAGCTTTTAAAAGGAAAGAAAAGTGATTTTCAAATACATATCAGATAAACAGCCATTTATTATAACCAAGCATGTTTGATACACACACACACAAACAACATTTTCCTCGGCATGTAAAACAGTGAGATTATTCACACTGTTCTTTACCAAGCTGAGAGAAAAAAAGCTTTGATGAGTGAAATCACTCATGACTCAGTCAGCTTTAAAAAGATACCCGTTTTCTGTACAGCTTGTTCATTTAATTGGTATGAGTGGCAAGTATAAAAGAATCCAACACATCTCTAGGGATTTGTTCTAAAAAAAAAAAAAAAGACAAAAATCCTATGCAATACCTCTGGATTTCATGTTAGTCTTTCTTCTTGGACATTCCTATGTCCTGCAATAGATAACAATGCTGCAGAAAATCAAACTAAACCATTACATTCTCCCTTCACAAAGGTAAAAGGGCATTTTAGCTGGAAGAGAAAGCAGAATATATGTGGGCAAATGAAAATGTCTTCCCAAGGCATTTCAAAACAGCTGATGTGTTATCAGATTAAAAAAAAGCAAAACAGAGGCTTAAAATAGCATGCAATATCCTGTACCGGTTTTATTTGTTCATTGTGTTGACTGATAACGGTCTGTATCTTTTTAGTTAACAGGCATGATCAATATCTTTTTAAGTTCCACCATTGCTCCTTGCATGAAAAATAAATGCTGAGTTGTTTATTTTTCAAAGCATACACATATCCCAATATATCCCCCAAAACAACACTGGAAGACTTATAGGTGCTTATTTATTGTAGATTTTTTTGGGGGACAGGCCAGGAAAAAAAAGAGCCAGATGCATAGCCTTACAATATCAAATATTCCAGAAGGTATACAGGAAACCTGCTGCCATCCTGCATTTCAATATGTACTGTATGCTCTTGATGCAGACAGCATTCAGTACTTACGGATGCTTTTAAAAAGCAAGATAAGGCCAGAAAGTAGAGCTTTAAAGCTTTGCAGCCATTTAAGGCCTCCATCTCTTAAAATGCCTGAAGTTCCTCCCCAGATGTATCTGGCTCCGCCCATTTTTGGCATGGGGCTCTCTACGGGCAACACAAAGCCCGGTGCGGTCCACAGACTAACTAACAGAAGCTGTGTACCACTGCTCTGTAGCACGGCCAGGCCTCCCGCCACCTACTCAAGAACCCATGTATCATTTCTGCAGCTGCCAAAGCAGCCCAAATCCAGCGGTTCTCCACAGCGGTCTAGATGGGATGCCAAATGAGCCACTGAAGCTTTAATCAAACCCATGTTTGATTAAAGTCTTAGCAGAAATGATTAATTACAACATTAAAATGCCTATAAAAGAATGCAGAGGGCGTTAATAGCAGAACCAAGATTCTTTGTCAAAGCAAGTGATTTAAAATATGAAAAGATTGAGATAACCTTTTACTTTGGAAGGCACCAGGTTAGGAAAAGCGGATTTGGCAAAACTGGACCGTTTCACAGCTGTAACACAATTGTGATCAATATACTTTTGCCCCAGTTTTAGCCAACAACTAATAAGATTGCTCTCTGTCTTGTTCCTGGCTCTACGCTAGAATAACGCTGCTTTACATTTGCAAAAACAGATATGCGCATAGTAACTATGTTAGTAAAGCAGGTGGAGGAGAAACCAATTTATTCTTTATTAGTTTCTTCTCCAGCCTTTGGTCCAAACTCAAGGATCTAGGTTGTGAGAAAAAAAAAACGCCATCATTTGTGGAGTCCTTGTACCAATCAGGACATAAGTGGCTCTTCTGTTCAGTTGGGAATTTACTGTTTCACGCATGCTGTTGGGGGGAATTCAACTCTGTTCCACTGAGTAGTTTAAAAATCTCCAGGCAGCCTCTCCCTTTCCCCTGCCAAAAGTTTCATGAAAATAAGCTTCATGTAAACTAAGCTGCAAGAAATCTAGCCACCACCCTTTGTGGGTTTTGCATGCAAAAAAGAGCCCACTGAATTGGGGGTGAAGTGAATTAGGGGTAGATGAGCCCCTAAGAAGCTTTCTCAAATATGATAACACCAGCATCAGGTCATATCTGGAAAGAATTCAAAAAATGGGAGTCCCCTTATGCAGAAAAAATTTCAAGTTGGAAAATACAAGTTTAGGGGTCACTCTCAAGGAAACAAACTGGGGAAAGTGGTGAATTAAAAACAAGAAAATGAATTGCAGAAATTCATCCCCAAAACCTAAATAAGACCAAAAAAATATTTTTGAATCTAAGCCCTAAGCTAAATACTCTTTTTCTGATAAAGACATTTTTCTCTGTTTTCAAACCATAGCTGCCTGACAAACTATAGGGGTCCAGAGATTTCAGGTGAATCTCTATCAGCAAGGTAATTGGCTAATACAAGTCATATAATTACAGTGTTCATAAAACTCTTATTTTGAAGACGTTACACAGCAAAATAATAAAATATAAACATGTCTATAGGCAAATGTCTGTGGAGATTCTCAGTCAACCAGGTCATAGTTATCTCAAAGGTGCTTTTTTTCCCCCTTCAAAAGGGCAATTGGACTGCTTTTATCTTGAGAAAGAAGATGATGTTTGGCTTCTTATTCAAGAAACTTCATCAGTTCTATTCCATCCTTCCTCCATCAGAACAGATGAAGCTTCTTTGGATGACAAGTGAAGCATTTCCTTCTTCTTCCTCCTCAAGGGAAAAAAAAACAGTCCAGTTGCCTTTTCAAGAACAAAAAAAGCATCTTTGAGACATGTCTAAAGGCACGTATGATGGTGGAATTAACTGGTGACAGATTACAACTGTCCTGTCAAATCAATTCAAATGACTGGATTTGTGTAAGTTGCTTAACTGGGACATTTAAAGAACCAGAGTATCATGCAATCCTAATGCCCAAGCATTTCCGAACCAGAATCAGTCCCCAAAATAACCTGTGGTTCTCCCTGGATTAATCGAGGGTTACTCTGAGCCAGGCTGTCATGCAAATGGAGAAAGTGAAATCTCCCTGCTGACCTCAGGCTTACAGGCAGGGATCCTAAGGAAGCTCTACAAAAGAGGAGTCTATCCAGGAAGCCTGTTTTTTATAGTTGATAGACACACACACACACACACACACACACACACACACACACACACACACACGAATACGCAAAGGACTAACAAAGGGGCAGAAAGGAGATGGGGGAGGGTGCTTTATGAAAGAGTCCCAACACAGCACCAGGACAATGACGATAACAGAAGCAGACAGTGATCTCTTTGTGAAGTTGGCTTGTTAGAAGTTTTATGTCCTTTGATCAGCAGAAGTGCCCTTCCCATCGTATTGAGTTGGGCTGCTAAATATTTCAGCGTAAATGAAAGGAGCAATAGCAAGTAATATGAATGCTGTCAAGTTTGGCATCCATCACAAAATCCATGTTGTTTTTGTAAAGCTTACACTGCTATGGAAACAAGAGCGTTACAAAGCCAGAGAGCGTGCATCTATCAAAAGGTATTCCAAATGAAATTAATGGAACTGACTCCTAAAGGTATCCGACAACATCTTAAAATACCTTTCATTCCTCTTTCTGTAACTGTAGTCACAAAAGGAACACAATAAATGGAGGGGGAACAATTCACAGTATTCTGCTCTGAGGGAGGAAACCTGGCAAGGCTCAGAGAAAATAATAAAAAGAAAGGGAGCCCAAGAAAGCTAAAATAGCTTAGATTCAAATGGAGAGATCTAATTCCATGACTATAACATACAGCTTAGAGGGAGAGCCCCTAAACCCCACCCTATACAATTCCCGACAAACCGAACGGGCAGCGAGGAGTGAAAAGACAAGCCAGGGGTGGCAAAAGTCTCACGAATTCCAGGGAGCATTTTCACCGAGCTACTCATCGGGTGGTTCTTACCCTCTCCTGCCATCCTATCCCTGACGGAGCTCCTGAACGACCGTCAGATCATAATCCCAATATGGCTGCCTCTGTAATTGTGCTGTGCTGGATACTGTCTAGAGGAAGGGAGGACACATAACAAAAAAAGGAGAGCATCTATCTTTAGGGCAGAAATAGTTTTAAACAAAAAGCGGGGGGGAGGAGGGGAAGGGAAGAGACAGAGTTTGCTGCCACAAATCATTGTAAGGAATCAGGTTCAAGTCAGTCTGGTCAACTTGAAGGAAGGAGGGGGGGGGGGAAATCAGCCTCAAACCCCACCCTGCTTCTGAGATGAGATGGGAGTTTAGGCCGCAGCACTGTGGCTCAAGGAGAAAAGATGCAAGATGGGAATAATCGATTAGGAGGGATGGGCCCAATCCAGAGCAGAGCCTTCCAACATCCGGGGGAAACAGAAGACCTGGTGCTGAAGGCAGAGTCCTCCATTCAGAAAACTCATTAAGAACTTCTTCTTTAATTCCCCAATCCCAAAGTCTCAGTTTGACTGACAGCTATTCATTTGTGTGTGTCAGTGAGTGTATCATTTAAACTTCCAAACTTGGAACTCTAACCAAAACTCAGGAGAGGTGGAGGAAGGGGGGGGAGGGTCCCCATTTCACTGGTTTGGGAAGCTCCCTGTGCCAACATTTAAAAAAAAAAAATAGGCTGCCACAAGATCTCGCTTTAGCTGCAGAAAAAAAGTCTCTAGGGGGAACATGAAGTGGATAAAAGGAATGTGGGTAAGGGGAAGGCAAAAAAAAAACAAAAAACCAAAACCTGTGAGGAATCTATAACTGGAATTGGCCGGTTGGGGGATAAAACACCAGACTCCTTGAAAAGAAAAAAGAATTCAGAAAACAGCCTTCCTCCTACACTGATCAAAGTGGAAAAAGCTTATGCAAGGAAATTGCTGGTAGGGCATGTGTGTGTGTGTGTGGAGCACACACAAATACTGACCTATAAACACAAGCAGCCTGTTATTTGAAATGGACTAATAAAAAAGTAAAAGAGCTACGATGCAAATGCCTTCATAACATTTGCAAACCTGCACGCAGTAAATGCAGATGCACCAATTTGGTTGAATCTGTATACAGCTGAATGCATGGATTATATCCCTGGGGTGATACACCCACCAATTTACCCCCCAATTTAGCAGTGCCACGTCCCTAAGAGTTTTCCACGCTAACCTGCCTTCAGCCGACGGCAGGTTTTTCAAAACCAACAGGCCAGGAAACAAAACAAGCACAGCATACCAAGGAGAGCTCCTAAGTAAACCTTACTAGGGACTAGCACTATTTTATGAGATACACCTATTTCTTTCCCTTCTCATGCCTTGGATGTAGAACTCGTAAAATAAACGGTAGCTTTCCAAAACGCTTGATTACGATTCATTATGACTATGATCGGACTTTTATTTCACAGTAACATCTACCCAAAATTTATAATTACCGAAATAACACACCGCCGTTGGTTATTGAATCACACCCTGCCAAGATGAAAGATGCTGCAAAAGGAGTCCAGTTTATTTATTATTATTATTATTATTATTATGGGTTTTGCTCTGAGATCCGACACATGGGAGGGGATCCTAGGCTGAAGCCTTGCCTACAACTCTCATAATGGGTTTTGCTCTGAGATCTGACACACGGGAGGGGTCCTAAACTGAGGTCTGAACTAAAACTCCCATAATGGGTTTTACTCTGAGATCTGACACATAGGAGGAATCCCAGGCTGAGGCCTGGACTACAACTCCCATAATGGGTTTTGCTCTGAGATCCGACACACGGGAGGGGTCCCAGGCTGAGACCTGGACTACAACTCCCATAATGGGTTTTGCTCTGAGATCTGACACATGGGAGGGGTCCTAAACTGAGGCCTGAACTAAAACTCCCATAATGGGTTTTACTCTGAGATCCGACACACAGGAGGGATCCCAGGCTGAGGCTTGGACTACAACTCCCATAATCCCACAGCAGCCATCTCCCACACCTCCCAAAAGAGGAAAATCCACCCTATTCCCTCCTCCAACTGGATATTATTATTATTTATTCAATTTATATACCGCCCTTCTCCTATTGGACTCAGGGCGGTGCACAGCCAAGGATAAAAAACATACCAATACAAAATTTAAAATCAATTAAAAGAATTATATAGCTTTGGCCCACAATTTAAAACAATCCAATTAAAACCCAATTTACACTTAAAAAGCTAAAAAGCTAAAAAGAGCTAAAAAAAGGATATGGCTTTTTCTTTTTTCTTTAAAAAGCCAAACATAATTTGCTTTCCCTTTGGGAGAGAGGCATCTTGACAGGGGGAGGGAAAGAGTTTTAAAGAGACGGAGGGGAAAAAAAAAAACAAAGGAGGGATGAGAAGAAAAAAAAAAGGGGGGGATAAATAAAGGAAGGAACCATGATGGCCTCTCTCCCTGGGTGATTCCTTCCATCAAAAGGCCACCTCGCCATCGGACTTGGGGAAACCCACCCACCCCCCTTTGTTCCTTTTAGGACTCCGAGCCCCATCATCCCCGGAGGATGGGCGTTGCAGCCCTGGAGGGCGCCAGGTTGGGGAAGGTGGGTGAGCAGGTGGCGGAAGAGCCCCGCCCCAACAGCTTCTCCTCAGGTCACGTGACGCGCTCGGGCGTACTCCCCCCCCACCCACCGTTTTAAGCTCGCGCTTTTTTTTTTTTTTTCCCCCCGGGGGGGGGGAGGGGGGGGGGGCCCCGGGCCCCCAGCGGAAAAAAAAAAAACGGCTAACGGCTTCCCGGGGGGTCACGACCGGCGAGGCAGCTAGCGGGGAAGAAGCCTCCGCCGAGCCCCATTCCGGGCCGGCGAGAAAGGAGCGAAGGCCCCGCGCAGACGACGGAACCGCCTTGACAGCACCGCCGCCGCCGCTCTACTGACAAGGGAAAGCGATGGAGCCGCTTCCCCCCCTCCCTCCGTCCTTCTCCGTCCCGCCCACCGGCGCCGGGCCACGCCCCTTTCTCGCGGCGGCCGTCCAATCAGAGGCGCTCGCCTCCCGAGCTCATCCACCGGCATCCTCGCCGATAGGCTGGCCGACTTTGTCCATCCGTGACGGAAAAAGGCTCAAGCAAAAAAAAGCGGAGGACGCCTCCTCTTTTTTTGCCAATCTCGGAGCGCGTCTCGGCCAATCCAATGAAAGGCCCGTGGAGGCAGCCAATGAGCGTTCGAAGAAAGGGATGCGCTTTGCTCCGCTTCACAGTTCTCGGGGAATTCTCCTTGGGATTCTTTTAAGCCGGCGGCGGCGTAGGAATGCCTGAGGGGGGGAGGGGGGGGACTCGCGCGGAAGGACAAATTCGAGGGTGGCGAGTTGACCTCGTGGGGTATATAAAAGGGGAGCGACGCGGCCTTTTTTGCTTTTTTTTCCCCCCCTCAGATTCAGTGTTTCTCTGAGAGGATTGTGGGAAGGCTGAGTGACTGAGCGCTTTGGGAATTGATTCAGGTCAATCAACGCCAGCCGTGACGAAAGCGGCGAAGGAGAGAAACACCACATATTTAAAATTAAAATAATAATAATAAAAAAAAAACCCCGTGTCGTCAATTAAAAGCCGACCATCGCCAGCCCGCTATTTAAAGCGCGCAATGAACGTCTGAATGCAGAAAGTGCCTTTGGAGGAAGAAGGGCTTGTCACAATCACGAACTCTCTTCCCTCATCCCGCTTTTATTTATGGGCTGGGATTACACAAAATACATTAAAATGAGAGATTGCAAACGTGCAGTTGAGAGGATCTGTAGGAAAATGGATTCTCCCTCCCTCCCCCCACATGAAATACCTCACCCAAATTCAAATTTGCTGTGAAAAATAAAATCTTTGGAATGTGTGCATTGGTCCCTTATTTTTATATATATAAATATAGGTAGTCCTTCACTTACAACTATTCATTTAGTCATTTTGGAGCTTTAAAGGCACTGAAAAACCAGACTTACGACCGGTTCTCACACTTACAACCGTTGCGGCATTCCCGTGGTCATGTGACCAAAATTCAGGCACTTGACAACTGGCATGGACTTACGACGGTTGCGCTGGGTCCTGGCATCACTGCTTGTAACTGTCACAGAAAAGCAAAATCAATGGGGGGGGGGAAGCTGGATTCATTTAATGACCATGTGATTCATTTAGTTGCAGTGATTTGTTTTAACAGTAGTGGCCAAAAATAGGTTGTAAAACGGGGCAAACCTCACTTAACATCCTTGCTGACCAGTTGGGAACCGTGGGCTCAACTCTGGTCGTAAATCGAGGATTATCCGTGTTACAGAATTGTTGGCATCAGCCTCGGGTTTTTCTTTGGACAGTATAACCTCAAGCTAGAGTTGACTTTATCTTTAAATATTTTATCTGTGCTTCTATTTTATTCTCACTATTGATTTGTGGCAGCCGCTTGTCCTAATATGGTTTAATTTCTATGCCTCTTTTGTCCTTTTGTTCTTTTTTTTTTATTATTCTTAAAAGTATCTACTTAAAGGTTTCAAAAACCTTCCCCATATAGAGCTGACTTACACATCGAGTAAAATACAACTTGGTTAAACAAAACATGAAACAGTGCTGTGCTTCCTACGGTTAAAGGACGTTGGTATCTGAACATAAAAACTTGTTTAACATTTACGTTGTACTGTGTTTTACTAATCTGGGTGAAATGTTTATATTGCTAGTTCATGTACGGATATGCCCTACGCTAAATAAAGGATCCAGACAAGCAAAGCTTACAACCGATGTTTTTTTAAACAGCAGAGACCCTGATTAGAGGCTAAACCCCAAATTATATCACAAATTGAACCCATATGGGTTAATCCTGTCACTGATGCAGCCTACAACAACTTGCCTGCGGAAGTTGTGAATGCTTCAACACTGGAAATTTTTAAGATGTTGGATAACCCTTTGTCTGAAGCAGTGTAGGGTTTCCTGCCTCGGCAGGGGGTTGGACTAGAAGACCTCCAAGGTCCCTTCCAACTCTATTCTATTCTATTCTATTCTATTCTATTCTATTCTATTCTATTCTATTCTATTCTATTCTATTAACTTGCCGGCAGAAATTTTTCAAATTTGTGGGCTGTTAACAATTACCTCAATTCATGAGGTAAATTTTGGCTCATGACACATTGCAGGTACAACTTCTCCAGTGTTATAGAACTGATCGGTGGGTAGAGAGCATCGGCTCTGCATGAATGACACACATTTCAAACTCGTCTTGAGCAAAAAATGAAGATAAAACAGCCTTGGTGTGCATATTCTGGAGAGAGAGAGAGAGAGAGGCTCCAGCATGAGCCTGGAAGTTTGAAATAAACTTTTGATCCCCATGACTGACTGACTTGAATCCTGCAAAAAATGCTATTTTTCTGATCCAGATTAACGATTCAGAGAAACCTTTTTTTTTTCCTTTTGGCCTAAAACAGCGGTCCTCAAACTTTCTAGCTTGGTAGCGTGTTTGGGGAGGGGGGGGGATAGTTCATTGTGAGTTGTAGCCGCAGTGGTGGTATTCAGCCGGTTCTATCCAGTTTGCGCGAAGGCCCTGTGCGCGCGCTCACATCTGCGAACCAGCAGCGAAGTACTGGGCATACCACCACTGGGCAGGCGGGGCATGCACAAGTGTGCGCCGTCCATTTGTGTGAGCGGTGTGCGTGCGTGCAAAAGTGGTCACCGATCACAGGAGGGAAATTTCGTATGCGAGGGCAAGCAGCTGCCGCTTGCACAAGGGGAGATTTGCACCCGTGCAAATTTGCACCCGTGCATTGTTCTGAACAGGCCGCAGCCCGGTAGTGGGCCAGGGGTTGGGGACCCCTAGTCTAAGAGATGAAATATTGGGCTTGACCCATTAGAACCAGTTGCTATTCAGTGACGGCCCATGTTTTTCTATAACAAGCCACAACTCTCGATTTATTGCAGATAAACACCGATTTGTCCTAAGACCAAAGAAGCAATAGCTACGCTTGTCTCATTAAAAAAAATGAGACCTCCCCGCTCACAAGCAGGAAACCAAATCACCACTATCTTTTTTTTTAGCGACCCCATAATCCCTTCCGGGGTTAGAGTCTCAGCAACTGAATGGAACTAGCAGTGTTTTAATGGCCAGATGCCTTTCCTGTCGCCAATGCGGAGTTTTGTTCAACAGATATATTCTCTGTGTGCCCAGGGAGAGAAATATGTGCCTCTACTTAGGATTGAACTCACAGACTCCTGATTGTGAGGGTGAGAGCTCCACCTCTAGGCCACCGCACCACTCCAAGGAAGAGCAACCAAATCCTTGGATGAAAATCACGTCCCATGTATGCTGCACAAAGTATTTGTAATTTTGATTTAACAAGCCCGCCCAAAATACATAAAGGAGCCACATTCTTGTGAATGTGTATCACCATTTATTGTTCTTCAAGAATTAGGAACTGAACAGAGGAAACTGTCAGCAGAAAAAAGAAAAAGAAAAGAAAAGAAAAAAAAACATTTTCTTTTCAGGCTTAATTTGTTTCGTTTCGTTTTGTTTTTTTTTTAAAACACTGTGGTTTCGAATCCTTTTCAAAAAGGACATTCAAGTATCTTTTTTTAAGCAGAGGGCAGTCATACAAAAATGTTTCATCTTTTTTATATAGTTTCTTTTTTTAAAAAAAGCAAGTCTACATTTTTTTTTTCTGCACCCTTTTTGCTTTGGTAAGGCCAAGCCATGGATATAAAACTGGTACGCAACATAAAAATGAATCCGTCGGCTTCGACTCGGAGGCGCCGCGAATAAAACGATCTGCTTTCCACACACCCCCAACCCTCATTTTCCCCCAAGAGACGCACTTTTAAAAGACAGAGAATCATTACCGTTCAGCTTATAAGATCTCTGCCTTTAAAAGTTTTTTTTATATATATATGTGTGTGTGTATATATATATATATATATATATATATATATATAGCTCTCTATATATATCTTTTAAGTCAATGCCCCCCCCCCCCCCCGCCGTATTCCACTCCAATTCCTTTGCGGCAGTTGTTTCAACCTATCATACAAGGCTCTGAAGAAAAACCAACCTAAAAATAAAAATAATAACAACAACAACATCATAGGGAATATGAAGCCTCTCCTCAAAAGATAAAGGGACACGTCAAACAATGTTAAAATTTCAACGTGTCGACAAAGGGGGGGGAGGCGGGGGAATGAAATTTGCGACTGGGTCGGGGGTGGACTTACCAAATTAAATTAAATTTTAAAAAAAAAAGCTTTCTAATAGAAAAATATGATCCCCTTCCCCCATATCCCTCCCCCCTTCTTTTAATACTCCTCGCAGGCACATTTGCTTTTCTCAAAATTATGTCCTCCGTAGGACATTCAGAAGTCATCTTTTCCATTTACAGGGAAGGTTTTTCTTCAACACTGAGGAGAAAAAAATAAAATAAAAATAAAGAGAAACCGGGAGGCGGGATCGTGCAGGCAGAGGTGACGAGAGAAATGAAAAGGTTTGAGGGGAAGGGGGGGATTACCTTTAGCAGCAAAATGTTCAAAGTTCCAACCACTATCAAATTAACGGAGATCTGGCAATATATTGGTTTAAAAAAAAAAAAAACACGCACACGCACGCAGACACACACACACACACACACACGCACACCCCCGAGGGCTGTGCCGCCCCGATTTCGCGTCGTTGGCTAAACCGAACTCGGCCGTTTATGAACCCCCAACGATGAAAATGGAGGAGTCTCGTTTTTTGTTTTGTTTTTTTCAGAACAAAAAAAAAAAAAAGGAACTTGCTAACTGAATCCCACCCACAATGCTATCGACTGCCGATGTATCGCTTAAAAGTTATGTACAAGAGAGTTAAGCTGCGTTTCGCGGTGTGGTGCCTCTTTTTCCCCCTTCGCCTCGCCCAGGAGGTTCCACGGTCCTTTGTGGTGGCAGCAGCGGCAGGCGCTGCGTGAGCCCCAACTCGGCTTCAACTCCCCACGGTTTTGGCGTTCCCCCTCGCCTTGATCTGCTGCCTTGCTCTCCGCAGTTGACCTCGGCGTGCGCTGCCAGGGGGGTGACCTCAGTGATCCGGGTGCTGCTTGTCCCTCATCCAAGCTTGGATTTGCTCTTTCAGCTCAGGCACTAAAAAAAAAAAAAAAAAAGGAGGGGGGCAGAATGTCAACTCTGAAACTGACCTGGCTGTGGCCATTTTAGGCCTTCAGTGCTGCCACAACTGGAGCTGTGGGAAAGGGAGGGGAAAGTAGAGATAGCTGTGGTGCTGTAGACAAAATAAAATACTTTTTCTTGGGACCCAAGGACATTCCCACCAGGTGTCTAGGAGGAGGGGACTGGAGTCATTTACCAACTGGACTGTATTCTGATTGGACTATGACTGATTGTTTGGAGAAAGTGAAAGAACTTTTACTTTTAATTAGCTGAAAACCGCCGGAACATTTAGAATCGGTTTTCACCAGCTCGTTCCAATATGACATATCCAAGAAATCTATTCTTTGAGGAATCCTTGGAGTTTTGATTGCTATGTGTGTTACTTGGAAACCTGACACAGAACCCTTAAAATCCAAGAAATGTTTTTTTTAAAAAAAAAATACACTGCAGGGAAGAGGAATGATTCACCTATACCACTCCCCCATGCACTGATGATGTGATCGAGCTGGTTTGTGAGAGGTCTCCACAGGAGGAGAAACAAGCTGGGAGAATACCCCAAACCGTGAAAAGATTATAGAGTTTTTAAAATTGCGCGATGGGTTTGAAAACCCCACTCTCTCCCCCAACTACCTGGTTCCAGCATATTTTCTGTTAGTGTCTGGCGATTGAAGGGATCCGTGGAGGAGTTGAGAAGGTGCCGCAGAATGACGGAGCGATCCATGATAGTTCCCGATGGCAACCGGACCGGGTCAGTCATTAAGGTATCCATGAGTGGATCTGAAGAGACACAATCAACTTGTCAACTGAGTTTTAAAGGTAGTAGCTCAACAAATAAACCGGGCCACACCCATTACGGATTTAAACCAAGGATCCCCAGCTCAGGTTTGTGGACCGGCACTGGGCCGCAGCATGCCAAAAATCCGGCTGTGTGAAGTGAAGTCCCATTCGCGGGATGCAGGCAGCACACGAAACCACTCCCCTTCTGGTCCGCGGAAAAACCGCAGAACCAGTCCCTGGTGCCCCAAAGGTTGGGGAGGGGCGCCGATTTAAACAACTGGTTAAAAATTACACCGCCTTCTTTTATTCATTGGAAATTAGTTCACTGCATCCCGACAAGGACTCGACTTACCTCGGAACTCATCCGGAGCATCACTGTAGTCAATTTCGGCGCGGGCATTCTTGGCAACAATTTCGTCCACTTTCTCCGCGAGCAGCTTGAATTTTTCTATCGCTATGGTGGACTTGATGCCGGCTTTCCTCATCTTCGAAATCACCTCCTCAAATAGCTCCTTGCTGTAAGACCTCTGCAAAGCCAACCACAAAGGCTCGTCAAAGCCCCCCAAACCAACGGAACACCAGCCCGGTAGTCAGAAGACACGATGACAACTCGATCTCTCAACGCAGGGACAGACTCAGCCACAAGTTTCACCGGGGAAATTGTGAGCGCCTTAGACTAAGCTAAATCCAAAAACTCCTGGAAATTTGGTGTCCCGACAATTAGCCATCAATGGACACATTGAGATAAACCACATTTACACACTGCTCCAAAGAGGCAATTACAAAAGCTAAGAAGGAAACCAAAAGTTTAGAACGCCTCCACTCCCAACAACCAACGTCCAGATAAGCAGGGATTAACCCCAGACGAACAATCAAGCAGAAATCAATCCCAGGGAAACCAAAATGATATTGTTTAGATTAAGATTTGTTTAATTTAACTGTTTAAAGCCTACTAAATATATCTAGATCAAGTCTAACTGACTGGCTATATCGATCTTGAAAATTGTTTACTCTTCTGCAATCAGATGCTTTTTCAAGAGCAGACCAAATGCTAGAACAGATCCATTTTTGTAGTTTGGATTGTCTTGGAAGTCTAGCTTTCTAACCACAAATCTGAACTCTTGCCCGTATTGTACAGTCAGAAAGACACACTGCCTCGAGGGCGCTGTTCTTCCTCCTAGATCAGGGGTCAGCAACCCGCGGCTCTGGAGCCGCATGTGGCTCTTTCATCCCTCTGCTGCGGCTCCCTGCCGCTCAAAATATGCATCACAACTGACAATGTGTGACATCCACCGACGCGCAATTAATTAACCTTTTCGATCCCCGGTAGACCAATCATGGATAAATCCAAGAAAAGAAATATTTCTACTATATATGCTAGTTTTGTGGCCACTCAGGAAATACTCAGGTACGGGAAGAGTTTTGTGGCTTCCGGTGTTTTCTTTTCTGTGGGAAACGGGTCCAAATGGCTCTCTTGAGTGTTTAACGTTGCAGAACCCTGTCCTAGATATTTTACCATGCTGAAATAAACCACTCTATATGCCTTACATTCATTCTTGTTTTAATTCGCTGTTCTGGAGAGAATGGAAAGGGGAAGATCACTGTGCTTACACTGTGGTGTAAGCATCACCCAACAACTCCAATTTTTGACAATTCAGCATCGACCTGAGGGGCCAGGAACGTGTTGTTTTCGATGGGAGTTGTGTGCTCCACACCCAGGAAGAAAGGCTTAGCTGTTTGCCAGCATTTCAGCACACGCTACAGAGATCTCTCTAGGATTCCACGAAAAACACACCAGCTAAAGGAGATTCATTGCCAGCCAGGAAGAATTCAGTTAGAAAGAATCCATCCCTCAGCTGAGTTTGAGCAATTCTTGACTTTCCTATAAGGAGTTAACTCCTCAGACAGCTCTTCTGTAGACAAAGCTATCCGAATCATCTTTGGCTCTCTTCTTAGGTCAGTTTGCAAAAAGCTCCTGCAGGAGAAGGAAGCCAGAATCTGCTGGGAGCTTGCCAGCTAAATGCAGCATTGCTGCAGAAAGGCCCGCTTCAAGTTGTAACGCACCCAGCAAATCCACCACTACCCGCCACGGGGAAGAAGGGGAAAATCCTGGCTGGATTTCACGCAACCCAGCATAGGGAACCGAAGGGATTCGACCTTCAGTTCATTTTTGCTCTTCTAAGTCTCAGCTGGCGGAAGGAATAAATCAATCTGAGCTGGGCAGGGCAGGGCAGGGCACGCCTGGCGGTGACTGCTCTCTACTCCATCACATCTGCCCGCTTCCAAAAGCGATCCAGATTTATCTGCAGTGCAGTGAATCCTGACTCAAAGCACCGCAGCAAGGAGGAAGTGGGGGGGAAAAAGAGTTTGTTCTTTGAGATTCGTCACGATAATTGGATATTTTCCCAATCCAATCGGAATAGAGCTGGAAGGGACCTCGGAGGTCTTCTAGTCCAACCCCCTGCTCAATCAGGAGACCCTCTACCATTTCAGACAAGTCGCGGTTCATTCTCTTCTTAAACATCTCCAATGGTGGAGCACCCACAATTTCTGGTGGCAAGCCGTTCCACTGATCAATTGTTCCAACTGTTAGGAAATTTCGCCTCAATTCCAGGTTGCTTCTCTCCTTGGTTAGTTTCTATCTATTATTTCTTGTCCTGCTTTCTGGTGCTTTGGAAAATAAATTGACCCCCTATTCTTTGTGGCAGCCCTTCAAATACTGAAATACTTTCCCCCTCTTGGGCTAAAGACATTCCATGATAACAAATGAAGTATAGCATAGGGCCGTGATGGCGAACCTATGGCACGTGTGCCACAGGTGGCACGCGGAGCCATATTACTGGGCACACCAGCTCAGCTCTGGGGCGCATGTGCGCGCCGGCCAGCTGATTTTCGGGCCTTCTGGAAGCAGAAGTAGGGAAACAGGCTGTTTCCTGCCTCTGGAGGGCCTGGGGGTGGGGGTGGGGAAGGCCCGTTTTTCTTTCTTACCTGGCTCCAGATCCTCTCTGTGTATCTGGGAAGGGCGAAAACAGCCTTTCCCACTCCCTTGGAGGCCCTACGGAGGCTGAAAGGGCCCATTTCCCGACTCCCGGTGGGATAGGAAGTGACGTTTTTTCCTGTCCCCAGCCTCCAGAGACTCCTAGAGAGGCTCCTAGAGACTCCTAGAGAGGCTCCTAGAGGCTCCTAGAGACTCCTAGAGAGGTTCTGGAGGCTGGGGACAGCAAAAAATGTCACTTCCTGTCCCACCGAGAGTTGGGAAATGGGCCCTTTCAGCCTCCGTAGGGCCTCCAAGGGAGTGGGAAAGGCTGTTTTCGCCCTTCCCAGATACACAGAGAGGATCTGGAACCAGGTAAGAAAGAAAAACGGGCCTACCAGGCCATCATGTGCCAGGAGCGGGGGGGAAGCGCATGCATGCGCGTGGGCACGTGCGCGCGCAATCCTCCCCCGCCCCCGCCTCTCCTGGCACGCGATGGCAAAAAGGTTAGCCATCACTGGCATAGGGTCACCCAAATAACCCCCGTCGAGGAAAAGCAGAGATTTGAGGAGGGGGGACATTCATAACGTATCAGCCACACCCAAACTGCCTGGCCCGAAAAACTTAAAGAGGAATTGTTAACGGAATCACACTCTCTGAAGGACTGATTTAGTTTAAAAGTATATAACCACATAAAGCGGATTTCAGAACATGCGTAATCCAAAACTACTGTAATATTATACCGTGTTTCTTCAAAAAGACGACCCACCTTGAAAAGAAGCCCTATCACGTTTTTGAGCGCACGCGATCAAATTAAGCCCCACCCACAAAATTAGCCCTAATTAAGACCCTGCCCATTCCAGGGTGCAGGGGGTGGGGCAAGGCACACAGGTAAAAAATAAGCTAGGATAGGGATGGGGGTGGGTGGAGTGTCCTAATTACCAGGCTTCACACACCCCGACACCTGCCTCTCCTTCTTCTACAGCTGCTGCTTCTGCGGCCGCTTGCCACCACTCACACGCATTGCCCTGGCCTCCGTTTTGCCTTCAGATGCCTGCAGGAAGAGCCTTGGTGGTGCAGCAGACTAAAGTGCTGTTAAGTAGCACCAGCTGCCTGCAATTACTGCGAGTTCAAATCTCACCAGGCTCAAGGTTGACTCAGCCTTCCATCCTTTCGAGGTAGGTAAAATGAGGACCCGGATTGTGGGAGCAATAAGGTGACTTTGTATAAAAGGAACACCGCTTAGGGGGGGCCGAAAGCCTTACTAAGAAGGTATATACAAAAAGTATGAAGGCTATTGCTTAACGCATTGTAAGCTGCCCTGAGTCTCCGGAAAAGGGCGGCATATATATCAAACCAATAAATAAATCAATAAATAAAATTTGAAGGAGAAAAAGAGGCCGGGCCAATGTGTGTGAGTGGCGGCAAGCGGCTGCAGAAGAAGTGGGCCAGCAGCAGGCTCCTCCTGGGCAGGGCTGTCGGTGCCACCGCCACAAGGTGAGTCAATAATTCAGCTACCATGTTTCCCCGAAAATAAGATCGGGTCTTATATTAATTTTTGCTCCCAAAGACGCATTAGGGCTTATTTTCTGGTTAGGTCTTATTTGGGGGGAAATATGGTACTAAATGCATCCATCTGGCTGACAATCTTAACTGGGGCTTATTTTGGGGGTAGGCCTTATATTACGAGCATCCTGAAAAATCATGTTGGGCTTATTTTCTGCTTGCGTCTTATTTTGGGGAAAATACAGTACTAAACTCCTCCATGTATTGACAATCTTAACTGGGGCTTATTTTGGGGGTAAGGCTTATATTACGAGCATCCTGAAAAATCATGCTAGGGCTTGTTTTCCAGTTGGGTCTTATTTTTGGGGAAACAGGGTAACGCCAAACTATTCTTCCTCAATGCCCCGAGCTCTGATTGTTAAATCACAGAACTGGAAAAAGTATTTAAAACAAACCAAGATGGAGGTGATTTGGCACCGTCCTAAAGAGATAAGCCGATCATATTGTTTCACTTCAAATTTAAATCCTCCAGAGGATTTTGCTCAGCTCCCTAAAGGGATGGGTGGGTTTTCAACACTTTTTGTCCCACGGGCAAGTAGTCCTCGCTTAGCCACCACAATTGGGGCCGGCAACTTGGTTGTTAAGCCAAGCAATCAAGTGAAACTGCAACGGGACTTACGATCGAACTTCGGCTTTCCTTTGATTTACAGACCTACAAAGATCATAGATAGAAGGACTGCTTATTTTTTAACTTTTTAAAAAAAGTTATTTTTTCATGATGATTGTGAATGGTCACAAAACGAGGACTGCGTATTAAGGAAACCTTCTGAGTGTCGGCAAAGGGTTTCATGAATCCTGCCCACTCTCAAAGTTCCAAAAACTAAACACGAGGAGGTTCTACCTGGATCGTAAAAGTGTCTTCACGCTTTTTACCTTCTCAGCTAAGACCTGGAGTCCACCACCACTCTCACCTGGTCGTCCGCGATTGCTTTCGCAAAACGGGCACAATCCAGCTGCAAATAGATATCTGTCAGTTGATCCAGAAGCTTCTTTGGTTCAAAGCCGTACTTCTCGGGGTTTTCGACTTTCAGATCGCGGCATTTGGGGCCGCACAGCTGCTGAAGGTTGAAGTTCAGCATCGCAGCCAACCGTGGTCCAAGCTCCTGCAACGGGAAATCGCAGCGTGTAGGTGTTGGGAGAGAAGAAGCAGTACAAGAAGCCGGTAACCAGAAACACAAACCCATCCAGAGGTGGGATTCAAATACTGTTACTACTGGTTTGCCCAGCATCAGAAATGTGAGTGCGCGCCATCACAAAACACAGCAATTCACTAACACGCGCTGTCCATGCTTGTATGTGATGTCAACAAACACAGCAATATAGGAGGGCTTGCACCCAGGGGGGACCCACGCACAGGTCACCACTACCGGTTTGCCCGAACCGATCCAAACCAGCTGAATACCACCTCTGAAGCCTTGTTTGGTCATAGTCCTTTGCTCATCAAGTCCAGCCAGTGTCTCGATCCGAGGGTTACAACCGGAGGCGACTCCCGGGAGAGTTCTATCGATGTCAAAAAAGGCTTGTCCTTGGATTCAGAAGAGCTGGGGGCTCAGACCCCCAAAGGCCATGACACCGCAGGAGATTATCTGGAAGCAAAGCCGAAGCTTCCTCCGCGCCAGAGGTGGGATTCAACCGGTTCTGACGTACCGGTAGCTCTGACAATCAGCTGAGAGCGAACTGGTTCGCTCCGACGAACAGATGGGCCTGCCCGCCTGCACCTGTGCTACAGTGGTGGGTTGCTACCGGTTCTCCCCGGTTGTTGCAAACCGGTAGTGGAAATTTTGAGTAGTTCGGAGAACCGGTAAATACCTCCTCTGCCTGGCCCCGCCCCCCAATCTATTCGCTGCCTCAAGACACCGTCGCTTTAAATTGAGAAGCCAAGAAGCCTCCCAACTGATCGGCTAGAACCGATCCGCTCCTTGTAAACCGCTCGGTGATGGTAGATTGGCAATTGAGGCCAAGCTGCCTGAAAGCGGTTTCCGATGCTCTCGGTGGTGGCAGAGCGGCAAAAAACTGTTTAAACTCTTGCCGCGGCGCTTCAAAGGGCCGCCCTACAGCTGATCAGTGGTAAAAGGCAGTGTGATGGTAGACCAGTCTGCTCCAAAAACAAATGGTTAGACTGGTTCACTCCAAAAACAAATGGGTAAACCGGTACGGCTCTGCAAACAATTAAAAGCCTGGTAGACCAGTACCTCTGCTAAATCCTAAATAATTGTCACATGACCATCAAGCCACGCCCACAAAATAAGCCAAGCCCACAGAACCGGTAGTAAAAAAAATTTAGAACCCACCCCTGCTGTGCTACCAACCTACCTATATTTCTTTTGTTTTAAGCCCCGTTGATTGGCGCGGCAGAGCGGATTGCCACGCCTCAGCAGTTTTACTCATTCTGGATTCAGTAGAAGGTAACTCTTGATCGTAATGGGCATGCACGGAAGCGTGGTTTTGGCACGCGTGCGAGCGAAGCGCACGTGCAGCGAACCGGTTGTTACCACTAGTGAATCCCACCCCTGCGCTCCGCGCTCCCGATACTCACAGGCCTGAGGAAAGGCTTCTGGACTTGTTTGGTGAGGATATGAAACATGTCAACCGTTTCTGTGGCCAGAGCCAGATAGGAGCGTGAGACTCGCTCGTCCTGGGCCAGCTGAGACTGCCGAGCCTGTTGCTGATCCTAGGAAGGAAAGAGCCAAAGGAAGAATATTTATAACCTGTATGATCATTATCATCTGTAAGCCACCACAATCAGGTACAGCTGTGAGGGTTGGACCTTCAGGAAGACTGAGTGCTAAAGAATGGATGCTTTCAAATTGTGGTGTTGGAAACTAATCAAGGAGAGAAACAACTTAGAACTAGGGAGAAATTTCCTGACCGTTAGAACAATTAATCAGTGGAACAATTTGCCTCCAGAAGTTGTGAATGCTCCAACACTGGAAGTTTTTAAGATGATGATGGATAACCATTTGTCTGAAGTGGTGTAGGGTTTCCTGCCTGAGCAGGGGGTTGGACTAGAAGAGCTCCAAGGTCCCTTCCAACTCTGTTATTTTATGCTATTCCTCAGCAGGGGAATCACTAAAACCCGAGACCCAGCTCACCCTGGGGAGAAGATCCCACTGCTCCTTGTTCTTCATCTCTTCCTGCACTTCGTGGATGCGTTTGAGGGACTCTAAACTCTCATCCAGCAAGAACGTCGTGTCGTTGATCAGCATATTGATATAGCGAACAAACTGCTTGCCGGAGCTGGAAAGGGAAAAGGAAAAAAAAAGACAATTGGATAGATTTCTTAGCTCTAATAGATGAGGAGGAGGAGGAGGAGGAGGAGGAGGGCAGGCTGATCAATCTTGAGAAATGTGGCCCCCGATCCCTGCTTAGTAGTTTTGAAATTCCCTGGCATCCATTTTTGCCTTCCGCAAACTATGAATAAGAATCCCTCAGTCTGTTGGGAAAATGCTTCGCACTAGCAATAGCACTTAAGACTTATATGCCACTTCACAGTGCTTTTACAGCCCTCTCTAGGCGGTTTACAGAGTCAGCCTCTTGCCCCCAATAATCTGGGTCTCCATTTGACCGACCTCAGAAGGATGGGAGGCTGAGTCAACCTGGGAGCCAGTTGGTCAGGATCGAACTGCCGGCAGTGGGCAGAGTTAGCCTGAAATACTGCGTTCTAAGCACTGGGAAGGAAGGAAGGAAGGAAGGAAGGAAGGAAGGAAGGAAGGAAGGAAGGAAGGAAGGAAGGAAGGAAGGAAGATAGCAATAGCACTTAGACTTACATACTGCTTCACAGTGCTTTACAGCCCTCTCTAAGCCATTTACAGAGTCAGCCTCTTGTCCCCAACAATCTGGGTCCTCATTTTATCAAACTCGAAAGGACGGAAGGCTGAGTCCACCTTGACCCTGGTGAGATTCGACCTGCCAAACTGCAGCTAGCCAGCAATCAGCAGAAGTAGCCTGCAGTACTGCACTCTAACCGCTGCGCCACCGTGGCTCTTAGGATGGCAAAAAAAAATCAAAACCCAAAAACCAACCCACCTCTGTGTGGTACAATAGCTATAAAATGAACTTTTCCACTGCATCAGTTTAAAAATGATTGGTCCTTACTTAAGAGATGCATCCAGCCCAGATATGCAGTGTCCCATCCAGTGCCTTTTCCATGACGAGCGGCCCGTCCAATCCAGAACAAGCTTACATGTAAAGCGGTTACACTCACTTGAACTCTTCCATGAAAGTCCCATGGTGAGCTATGTTCTGCCACAAGCTTTTGAAGATGGTGCTGATGTGATAGCGGATCGTAAATTTGTCGTAGAATTCGCTGGTGGCCCCAGTGTGCTCCACGTCTTGAGGGGGGAAAAAGGGGAATAGAAGAGTTGTATAGTCTCCACGCACCCTGAGGATGCCAGGTTAAGCAAGAGCGGCCACCTTCGCACAACACACTAAGCTAGTGTTGTGGCCTGCTGGCGGCCAGGGGAGGTGGCAGCAGAGTCGGACAGTGAGGAGGTTGGGGAGGAACGTGGGCCAGTCCTGGGGGCTGGGGAAAGCTCGGACGAGGGCTCTGCGTAGAGGAAGAGAGGGAGTTAGACAGCAGTGAGGCAGAGGAACAGCTGGAGCCCGTTTCTAGTGTGCGCATGCACAGAGCTGCCAGAAGACAACTCAGAAAGAAGGATCGATTTAGGAGTAAAGCCACACCTTGGAGGTGATTGGCCCCTCTCACAGGAAATAAAAGACGAAGGGCTTTTGCAGGAAACAATTCGTCCGTTCCATGACTCTGAGAGACTCTGTGCCAGGTTTTGCCTTGTGCTGCGGTTGGAAACAAGTTACGTGGCAGCTTGCCAAACAAGATAAGGTCTGTGTTGATAAATATTCCTTTGAAAGACTGTTTGGACAGGCCTTGCTGACTATGAATGAACGTAATTCACAGTTGTGTAAATAAAAGAGGTTTTGCCAGGACCAATTCTTGCCTCCTGCTTGTTAAGGGAGCCTAGTTCAGAACAGCCAAAATGAGCCTTGGGGTGTCAGCGAGTTGTGGGAACTCAGTTGGTTAGAGCTGTGGGAGCTTAATTGGTTAGAGCCATGTTTCTCAACATTAGGAACTTTTCAGATGGGTGGGGATTAAAACACCTATGCTGGCTGGGGAATTCTGGGAGTTGGAAGTCCACTCATATCTTAAAAGTTGTCACAATCGAGAAAGGAGAACAAGAGATACAGGCAATCCTCGGCTTACAACCGCAGTCCAGCCCGATATTTCGGTTGCTAAGCGAGACATTTGTTAACGGAGTTTTGCCCCGTTTTACGATTTTCCTGGCCACAGTGGTGAATTGAAATCGCCGCCGTCGTTGAGTTAGCCACACGATTGTTAAGCGAATCTGGCTCCCCAACTGACAGAAGGCCGCAACTGCCATTAATACGAGTCAGTCGCCAAGGGCCAGAATTTTGATCCCGTGACCACGTGGGACGCACAACGGTCCTAAGTGTGGAAAAGCGATCGTGTCAATTTTTTTTTCCAGCGGCGTCGTAACTTGGAACGGCCGCTAAACGAAACAGTTGTTAAGTCGAGGACTGCCTGTACTGTTGCTATCGTGCATGGCTCCCTTGCCCGAGCGGCACAACTGGATGCAACATCCATCCAGGGCGTTCGTTCACCAACCTGTGTAAAACTTCATCAGGGAAGGAACCAGCAACTTGACGGAGAGCGGATGGTTTTCGATCATTTCGAAGAACTTCTGGGTCCGGGGTTGGACGGCTGGGTTGGTCATGAACATCACCTCCACCAGCTTGGCCACCAAGTAAGGGTTCCGGATGTAGTCCTGGTTGCAGAGCATGACCACGAGGAAGGTCACCAGCTCCTGAGTGCAAGGCTCGTAGAGTACCTGAGGCGAGTATCTGGAAAACGGGGAGAGGGAAGCGGGATGAAAAGAACGACGGAGGAAGGCTTGGCAAGGATTAAATGGCCAAAGCGGAAAGAGATGGCATCCAACCCATAATAGAGCAATAGCACTTAAGACTTATATATACCACTCCGCAATGCTTTTACAGCCCTCTCTAAGACGTTTACAAGGTCAGCCTATCCCCCCCGACAATCTGGGTCCTCATTTTACCGACTTTGGAAGGATGGAAGGCTGAGTCAACCTTGAGCCGGTCAGGATTGAACTCCTGGCAGTGGGCAGTTAGCTGGCAGTCAACCTGCTACAGTACTGCATTCTAACCACTGTGCCATCCAAGCATGCATGCATCTCTCTGTCTCTCTCTCCCCCTCCCTCTATCTATCCATTATCTATCTATCTATCTATCTATCTATCTATCTATCTATCTATCTATCTATCTATCCATCCATCATCTATCTGTCCATCCATCCATCCATGTAATCTATTATCCATCTTTCTTCATCCTCTCCTATCTATCTATCCATCATCTGTCTATCCATCCATCCATTCATCCATCCATCTATCTATCTATCTATCCATTGTAATACCTTTCCCCGAAAATAAGACCCAACCAGAAAATACATGATTTTTCAGGATGCTTTTAATATAAGCCCTATCCCAAAAATAAGCCCCCGTTAAGATCGTCAGCCAGACGGACGCAATTAGTACTGTATTTCCCCCCAAACAAGACCTAACTGGAAAATAAGCCATAATCTTTTGGAGCAAAAATTAATATAAGACCTGGTCTTACGGTAGTACTTAAGACTTATATACCACTTAATTGTGCTTTACAATCGTCTCTAAGTGGTTTACAATGTCAGCCTATTGCACCAACAACCTGATTAGAAGCAAACCTGAAGAAACAGGCTGCCAGTGTTGGCCAAACTGCTAAGGATATCCCCCGAAAAAGGAGAATTAGGGATCAAGGAAGGAGATAATAGACTCCTTGCTTTTATTTATTTTTATTTATGAGTGAAATGTATACGCCTCCCGTCTCACTATCCGGAGCGACTGTTCAATCCAAAGCATTGTGGTTTCTTTCCTCAAAACGACAACTTCAATCCACAAAAAATGAAGTACGTTTTTTTTTTTTTTTTTACTTACTGTACAATAAAAAACAAAAATTCCGCAATATCTTCCACGTAAAACTCAGGCATCGCTGCGAAGACTTTCGGGACATCTGGGTTTAAAGGCAGTTGTATGCTGCAGGTAGGACAGAAGAAATCGTTTGAGGAAAAAGATTCGCTTAATAAACAGCATGACCTACGACTGTAATTCCAGGCTTAATTACATTTCTAAATTCGAGGACTAACTGGAGGGGCATTTCAGCGCAGAATTTAGATCTGAGCACAGAGGTGCACCATCAAATGTTATCCCTCTGACAACAGAGACTTTATCTCAGGGGTTCCAAACCCCAGGTTTGTGGACTGGCACCAGGCCATGCCATGACAAAAACTGGCAAACAAGCGAAGCCCCATCCATGGCAGTGGTGGGTTGCTACTGGCTCGCACCGGATCGGGAGAACCGGTAACGGCGGCAGTGGGAGGATTCATCCACCCACCTGGATGCTTCTGTGGATGCGCAGAAGTATTGCGCCCACAAGCGAACCGGCAGGTTTTGAAACCGGCCCCTGATCCACGGGATGCAGGCAGCATGTAGAATCACAGCCCCCTCACCGATCCAGAGAAAAAACTTTCCCCATGGAACCGGTCCCTGGAGCCCAAACGTTTGGGGTGGGGGAGCCCTGCTGTTTTAGCCGATTGGGCTTTTAGATCCCACAGTAATCCAATCCAGCAAAGGATGGGATGAAGACCGTAAGGCACGCAAAACTCACTTAGGGTAGGCAGGATCAAGAATCCGTAGCAAGAGCTGGATCACCACGCTGTAAAAGTTGAGGCACCTCCGGAGAAAATTCTCATCTAACAGGCCGGCGTCTGCGCAAGCTTTGCATCGCACCAATTTCTGGGCAGGGACATGACGAGAGTCAAAATGAAGTGACACAACCTAACAAGTTATGAAAAGTAGCCTCCCACCCACCCACCCCCACCCCCTTAGCTGTTCTGAGCTATGCTTCCCAAGAGCATGAAGCAGACTCCTTGTCCTGACAAAAAAAACCTTTTTATTAAGTGACTGTGAATTCCTCTCATTCACATCCAGCAAAGTCTTTCAAGGGAGAATTGAGAGTCACAGACCTTAGCTGACTTGGAGAGCTGCCAGGCCGATATCTTCCAAACTTGGCAAGAAGACTCCAAGAGTCACGAACCAATTAAGCGAACTAATTGTCTCCTGCAAACTCCCCTCCCCTTTTGCTCCTCTTTTATTCCCTCTGGGAGGGAACCTTTTTTTTTTTTAAATTTAAATTTTTAATTTTTTTTTATTATTTTTTATTTGATTTATATGCCGCCCTTCTCCGAAGACTCAGGGCGGCTTACAATGTGCTCAGCAATAGCCTTCATCCTTTTGTCTATTTATACAAAGTCAGCTTATTGCCCCCACAACTGAGTCCTTCATCATCCACCTGTGGCTTTACTCCTGAGTCGACCCTTGTTCCGTAGCTGTTCCCTTCGTCTGGCAACCCTGCGCATGTGTACACTGGGAACAGGGTCCAGCTGTTACTCTGCCTCACTGATGTCTGACTCCAAAGGCAGCTGATAACTGGCATACGGCCCTGACCCCCCCTCTCAGCCTCCGATGCAGAGCCCTCATCAGAGCCTTCCCCAGACTCCAGGACTGGCCCACGTTCCTCCCCAACCTCCTCACTGTCCGAATCTGCTGTCAGCTCTGCTGGCCGCTGGCGGTCCACAACAGTTAGCCACGAACCTTGAGTTGGGTTTTGCATCGTTTCAACATCTCTCGATGCCTGGTAGCTAGGGGAGAATCCTTCCACTGACTTTCGTTATTCTTCAAATCCTCCACGGTCCTGTGGAAAACCCAGAAAGTGTGAGTGGGGAGCAGAGGTGGGATTCCCTTACCTTCCCTACCGGTTCGCCAGAACCGGCTGAACCCCACTCTGATGGGGAGGATTTGAGTAATCAGGACAAAAGCGTCGGCGCTCAAACCATTGCAAGAGGAAAACCTGTGTAAACCAGCCAGGAAGAAATACAAGGAGTCCTCGACTTACAATCGTTCGTTTAATGACCGTTCAAAGTTACAACGGCACTGAAAAAAGTGACTTAGGACCGTTTTTCACACTTTTGACCGTTGCAGCATCCCCAGGATCATGTGATTTAACGTTCGGATGCTTGACAACTGGTTCATATATATGACAATTGCCGTGTCCCGGGGATCACATGATCCCCTTTTTGCGATCATCTGACAAAGCAAACTCCACGGGGAAACTCGGATTCATTTAACAACTGTATTACTACCGTATTTTTCGGAGTATAAGATGCACCTTTTCCCCCCCCTAAAAGAGGGTGAAAATTCGGGTGCGTCTTTTAACAGCCTCCAAAATGGAGGTTTCAGAGGCTGAAAAAAAAAGCAAAGCGCAGAGCTCACAACCAACGCACCTGTTGCTAAAGTTCACCTCTGGGAACAGGTAATTGAGGATATTCTGGGAGGCCGATCCACCCGCCAATCAGCTTTTTTCTTATTTTCCTTCCCAAAAACTAAGGTGCATCTTTGTTAAGAAATGGTTATTTGTCTAACTAGTTGGTCAGGCAATATATAAACCAACAATGTATGTTTGCAGTCAGAAAGGTATTCTATTGCTTTCCCTTCCCTTAAAACCTTTATTTTCATTTGTATTTTAAAGGATAACCCCAATTTTAAAAAAATATAAGAAAAAAAAACTGGTGCGGTTTTAATTGAAAGGCAATTTGTGCGAATTTGGGATGGCCGAAGCATTTCTTTATTTGCATTTATTTATGATCAGGGAGGGAATTGGGAGGCTTCTGGGTTTTTTTATTGCTGGTACTTTGTTTTAATGGTTTTATTTTGGGCCAGCTGGTTAACTCACAAACCAACTGGCCTAAAATAAAACCATTAAAACAACACACCACCAATAAAAAAAACCAAAAGCATCCAATTCCGTCTTTGATTATTTGCAAAACAAGAGATATGTGTGTGTGTGTGTCTACAGTTACACAGGGCATATTAGACACCCCTGCAGATTCGGCTAACACGGCACAGCTTCCAAAAAACCCTTCCAGGTGAGAAGTCGGAGTTTTCTTTCCAGCTTTTGACTTCTAAATGAAGTGTCTTCAACAAGAGATTGGCTGGCCAATGCTTGAAAGGGATTTCCGAGCCCTTATGCTCTTCTTGTTTTAATAAAGCTGTGGCTACGTTTGAGCTTTACAATCTTTGAAAAGCAAAGGGGGGAAAAAAGGCGTCTCTCTTTTCGAAAGATTCCAGCGCAGGCTTTAAAAGACGCATCATCAATTTCTAGGTTCTATCCTATCTCAAGACGTAAAGTGGACACCTAACATCAAAAACGTCATCAAAAAAACACAACGAAGAATGTTCTTTCTGCACCAACTCAGGAAGCTCAAACTGCCCAAGGAGCTGCTGATCCAGTTCTACAGAGGAATGATTAGAGGCTGGTCATCTGCACCTCCGTAACTGTCTGGTTTGGTTCTGCAACCCAACAAGACAGACAGAGACTTTGGAGGATCATTAGAACTGCAGAAAAAAAACATGGCTACCAACCTGCCTTCCATGGAGGACCTGTATAGTGCACGAGTCAAAAAGAGGGCTGGGAAAATATCTACAGACCCCTCGCATCCTGGACATAAACTGTTTCAACTCCCACCCTCAAAACGACGCTATAGAGCACTGCACACCAGAACAACTGGACACAAGGACAGTTTTTTCCCGAACGCCATCACTCTGCTCAACAAATAATTCCCTCAACACTGTCAAACTATTCACTAAGTCTGCACTACTATTAATCTTCTCATCGTTCCCATCACCCATCTCCTCCCACTTATAATTGTAACTTGCTGCTGGTATCCTTATGATTTATATTGACTGTTTCCTAGTATGATTTGATTGCTTATTTGTACCCTATGACTATCATTAAGTATTGTACCTAATGATTCTTGACGAATGTATCTTGTCTTTTTATGTACACTGAGTAGCATATGCACCAAAGACAAATTCCTTGTGTGTCCAATCACACTTGGCCATTTCTATTCTAGTCTATAAAGAAAGCAGGAAATCTATGACATAACAAATCCATCTGCTTTTCTCTCCTTCTCAGGGTTCTCTGAGGGACCGCCCCCCCCCCCACTCCTTCTCTGCTGCTTATCCCTCCCCACCCCCATGTTCCTCAGCCGGCCTTCTGCTCTCACAAGGCCATCCATGCAGGCGTGCTCTGGCCAGGTTCTGCCAACTGATTACTCAACCCAGCTTCAACAATGAAGCTATTTGGCAAGCTCTAAAGAGGCTTTTTGATCCTGGCTTCCCGCACAGAGACTATACCCACAATGCATGAGCTCACCGAGAAAAGACCGCCTTCGCTACCTCCCACAGCCATCTGGAGTCGCCAAGCCATGGCGTGCCAAGTTCATCTGGGCACACCATGTTCCCATCACACACATCAACGCTGCCCAGAGCTCCGCAAATGCCAACTTCCCTGGGCTCGAGGCAAAAAAAAAAAAAGGCTGGCACGCCATTACACCTCGCACGAAGCTCCCTTCTGCATACAAAGCAGACCACTCTTCCTTCCCTTCCTCCCGCCTCTCTTCTCGCTACATAAATAACCCAGGTTTTCCTAGAAGGGCCTTTTCTCCACCTCAGCCGCTTTAAAAGGGGTGGACTTCAACTCCCAGAATTCCACCCACCAGCACAGGGAATTCTGGGAGTTGGAATCCACCCATCTTGAAGCGGCTGAGGCTGAGAAAGACTAGCTTAGACTATCTCCCTCTGCACCTCAACTTTATTTTTACAGAATAACAAGAGTTGGTGCTGGAGAAGACTCCCGCGAGTCCCTTGGACTGCAAGGCCATCCAACCGGTCAGTCCTAGAGGAGATCAACCCTGGCTGCTCTTTAGAAGGCCAGATCCTGAAGAGGAAACTCAAATCCTTTGGCCACCCAATGAGAAGGAAGGACTCCCTGGAGAAGAGCCGAATGCTGGGAACGATGGAGGGCAAAAGAAGAAGGGGACGGCAGGGAACGAGGTGGCTGGATGGAGTCACTGAAGCAGTCGGCGTGAGCTTAAAGGGACTCCGGAGGATGGTAGAGGACAGGATGGCCCGGAGGAACGTGGTCCATGGAGTCGCGATGGGTCGGACACGACTTTGCAACTAACAACAAGAATCGGAAGGGACCTTGGAGGTCTTCTAGTCCAACCCCCTGCTCAAGCAGGAGAGCCTTAGAATATATCACTACGAAGAGTTGGCTGTCCAGTCTCTTCTTAAAAACCACCAGTGATGGAGCGCCATAACTTCTGGAGGCCAGTTGTTCCACTGGTTAATTGTTCTCACTGTCAGGAAATTTCTCCTTAGTTCTAAGTTGCTTCTCTCCTTGATTAATTTCCACCCATTGCTTCTTGTCCTGCCCTCAGGTGCTTTGAAGAATAGCTTGACCCCCTCTTCTTTTGGGGCAGCCCCTGAGATATGGGAACATACCGCTATCCCTTTTCTTGCCAAAGTCTTGCTCAAACTCCCCAAAATGACTAATGATGCATTTTTTTTAAATTATTATTATTTTTGGTAACCTGTTCAGCTCCCGGATGGCTCTGAGTCGACGGATGTATCGACGGCAACTCGGTAAGATGGAGAGGTGGTGGGCATGGAGGGTCAGGAAGAAACATTCCGTTGGGAATTTTGGCTCAGAGAAGAGAGACTGATCCCTGGCTGCGGAAAAGAAAAATAAGAGACTTGTCAATGAAAAGGTAGAAAAAAAATCCAAATGAAACGTTAACACATCTGCCAGAAGATTTAAGCAGGGATCTTGATCCATCGTACAAAATTTTATTTTATTCATTTATTCAATCATCCATCCATCCATCTATCTCCTAACCCACCCATCTCCCTTCAGAGCAGTTTCCTTCAGGATGCAAAAACAAATGGCAAAAATGATAGGTGCAAAAAAAAGAATTCACGGACACTATACAGGTAAGTCCTCGACTTACGGCCACAATTGGTCCCAAAATTTCCACTTTTGGGAAGGAGAGACGGTTATTAAGTGAATTTTGCCCCATTTTACGACCTTTCTTGATACAGTGAATCAATGCAGTCGTTAAGTTAGTCACACGGTTGTTAAGTGAATCTGGCTTCCCCCACTGACTTTGCTTGTCAGAAGGTCGCAACCGTCATAAATACGAGTCAGTTGCCAAGTGTCCGAATTTTGATCATGTGACTTCCAATGGTTGTAAGTGTGAAAAACAGTCGTACGTCACTTTTTTCAGTGCCGTTCTAACTTTGAAAGGTCACTCAATGAACTGATGTAAGTCCAGGACTCCCTGTAAAGGTGAAGGTAAAGGTTCCCCTCGCACGTATGTGCTAGTCGTTCCCGACTCTAGGGGGCGGTGCTCATCTCCGTTTCAAAGCCGAAGAGCCAGCGCTGTCCGAAGACGTCTCCGTGGTCATGTGGCCGGCATGACTCAATGCCAAAGGCGTATGGAACGCTCTTACCTTCCCACCAAAGGGGGTCCCTATTTTTTCTACTTTGCATTTTTTACGTGCTTTCGAACTGCTAGGTTGGCAGAAGCTGGGAGAAGTCACGGGAGCTCACCCCGTTACGCGGTGCTAGGGATTCGAACTGCTGAACTGCCGACCTTTTGATCGACAAGCTCAGCGTCTTAGCCACTGAGCCACCGAGTCCCTCCCTGTATAAACTGTATATAGGAAAACCATGCCAGTCTCTCTTCCAAGGGCTAAAATATGCTGCCCTTGATAAAAATTTTCCTGTACTATGGAGCGCAAGACTTATATTTTGTAAATTATCAGGAGCGCCTCTGGAAGTTGGCAGTGCAAAAATATTAATGAAGATTATTAAATTCATATTCAGATAGCAATAAGGAAAAACAAAAAAACACGTGGAAAGATCCTGGTAAAAAGAACAAGCTGTACCCAAAACAGGTTACATAAATAAAATGTGGAAATAAAATGTGGAAATAAAAAAAAAAAATCTGGCAAGAGGTTCGACATCAAGAAACACACCGTATTTTTCGCTCCATGAGACGCACTTTTTTGTCTCCCAAAAGTGGGTGGAAAATGTCTTCGCGTCTTATGGAGCGAATAATGCCGAAGCCCCGCCCATCCACCAGCCCCCACCCTTCAGTTAAGCGCAGGACTTTCGCGGAAGCCGAAAACGGGGGACAAAAACCAGAGTGTGCCTTATGGTCAGATGCCTCTTAGGTAAAGGTTAAAGGTTCCCCTCGCACAGATGTGCTAGTCGTTCTCAACTCTAGGGGGCGGTGCTCATCTCCGTTTCAAAGCCAAAGAGCCAGCGCTGTCCGAGGACGTCTCCGTGGTCATGTGGCCAGCATGACTGAACGCAAAAGGCGCACGGAACGCTCTTACCTTCCCACCAAAGGTGGTCCCTATTTTTCTACTTGCGTTTTTTTTACATGCTTTCGAACTGCTAGGTTGGCAGAAGCTGGGACAAGGAACGGGAGCTCACCCCATTACGTGGCACTAGGGATTCGAACCGCTGAACTGCCAACCTTTCCATCGACAAGCCCAGCGTCTTAGCCAGAGCCACTGCATCCCTTTGCCGGTGCGTCTTATGGAGCGACAAATACAGTAATAACAGCCCCTTTTCATATTTCTTTGAAGTCGGAGGTCACAAATGTTCACGCACAAGAAGAAGAATTGTTGGGAAGAATCACTTAGGATCCAAGTTTCTCAACCTTGGCAACTTTCAGAGGTGGGGACTTCAACTCCCAGAATTCCCCAGCTAACCATGTTTGGATGGAGAGGTTTCCTAGAATCTGTTATCAGGTCCCTTTTGCTAATTTGAAATGTGGTGGTGGTGGGGGGTTCTGCTTCGTTGTAATTTTAGATGCTTTTATGGGTGGGGAGAGGTCAATGGAAACTGTCTTAAATCAATGTTTCGTAACCTTGGCAACTTTCAGATGTGCGGACTTCAACTCCCAGAATTCCCCGGCTGGCTGGGGAATTCTGGGAGTTGAAGTCCACACTTCTTCAAGTGTTTTTTTTTTTTTTCTGGTGAGACCAGCCTATCAGGGCAACAGCATACTGCTTCCGCTTTCGCCTTTCAGCCCCAATCCAGGAGCCTTTGCAGGCAGTCGTTTTCACGACAAAACTATTTTTGTGTTAGTATAAGATGCACTCCCCCCCCCAATTAAAAAGGGTGAAAATTTGGGTGCGTCCTACACACCAAATGTAGCCAAAAACACGAGGCGTTGAGGTGGTGATGGTCTGTGGCAATCCCTGCAACCTGGAACAGCTGATTGAGGGTATTCGGGGAGGCCGATCCACCCACCAATCAGCTGCTCATGCTGAATCAGGCTGCAATAATGTGCTGAAGCTGACCTGGCTGTTTGCTATTTGCTGCAAGGACTCAAGAGTTTGCAGCAGCAATCACATCCAGAAAGCACACACAAGTAACTGATTCAGCAATAACTTATCTTTATATATGTATAATATAACACATGAAGTAAATATACAATACCAAAAGCAGGTTTTCCAACGTGGTAGTAAATACAAGCAAAACCCAAGCAGAGGAGAGGAGTTTCAGTTTTAAGCAGCAGATTAGTTTGCAACTTTAGCACAGACTCAGAGCTGCAGAACTAAGCCACGCCCAGGCTCCTTGCTGTCTGCTTCCTTGTTGCTCACAGAGCAAATACTGTTTCAGTTTCCAAACAGCCCTCAACTCTCTCACACACTGACAGGACGCTAGCCAGATGAATACCGATGGATGCTGGTAGGAGGAGGCAGAATTTTTTTTTTCTTATTTTCCTCCCCAAAAATTAAGGTGTGTCTTATACTCTGGAGCATCTTATATTCCAAAAAATACAATATATTTTACCGACAAAGAAATAAACGGAGACTAGTATAGATCTATTTCAAGCTATTTAGCTCTCATCACACTTATTCAAGAGGCCAAGGTTGAAAAATACTGACTTTAGACGGTTTCTATTCAACTCTCCCCACCCCATAAATATATCTAAAAAACAACGAAGCAGAAAAAAACACACAAATCAAATTAGCAAGAGAGACCTGGTGCAGATTCCATGAAAGGTCTCAATCCGAACAACAAAGACTGACATCAGCGCATGTATCCGAGCGAAAGCAGAAGTTGTTCACTCACACAGCTCAACCATCCAGCTGCTGACATCCTCCAAGGTGGCTTTGACTCGCGTTTCGTCCGCAGGCACCATGATTCGACACCGAGGATGGAAGATGTAGGACGGATCGACCGTCTCGAGTTTGATTTTTGTGCTCAGCTGCTGCAGCACCCACAGGAAGTTCAGCATGAAGCCATCCGTAGACACCAGCCGATCGTCCGCCTGCGGGCCCGACAAAGAGGAGCCAAAATAAGGAGCCAGGTCGGGTCTTGAGTTGACCCCCAAGGCCTCCTGGGTATCAATAAGGGAGAACAGTTGTAGCTCAGGGTTGAAATGAGAGGTCCTTGGTGCTCTCTTGAGCTTGGTTGTTTTCCTCCAGATGTTTCGTGACCGAACTAGGTAACATCATCAGTGTCAACTCGCAAAGCACCCCTGGTCTGCTCTTGAGTTGCCATAGGCCAGGGGGAGTGGGAAACTGGTGAAACAGCAGGGCAGCCAAAGATAGATGCACATTCCATGCTTATCTCTCTCAAGGCTGTATCCCAGGGTTACCCACAGCAGCCGGAGGGGAGTGACCTCTACAACCCCGTTGGCAAATGTGATTGATGACACACCCTGGGGGGAAGGGGGGGAAGCAGGGTCATAATTGGGCTGTAAATTACGTAGGGTCAGAGTTGGCTTCATTTGGGAATGTGGGGGCATAAAGCTCCTAATAAATAACTGGATTTCTTTTGAAGCTTGGCTCGAGGTTCATGATTTAATTAGGGGAACCCTGACAGCCAGTGCTAGAAGGGAATGGGGTTTTTGGGAAGGAGGAGGAGAAGGCAGCTAACTGTGGGGTCCTTGGTGCTCCCTGAGCATAGTTGTTTTCTTGCAGATGTTTCATGACTCAACTAGGTAACATCATCAGTGCTAGAAGGGAGGAGGGTTTGTGGGAAGGAGGAGGCGGCCAACTTGGGGTCCTTGGTGCTCTCTGAGCTTGGTTGTTTTCCTGCAGACATTTCATGACCCAACTAGGTAATATCATCAGTGCTCTTCAAATCAGAAGCTCGTCAGGTAGACATCAGAAGCCCAACTAAAGGATTTGGTATTGGAAAATCAGACAGGTATCACCACAACTCCGAAGTATTCTCCACACGATTTTCATTATAAATGGCTATAAATCGGGGTTGCTTACAGATTTGAGCTTTTCCCTCTACCCTTTTTGGCTGGCTACTTTTTGGAAAGTCCAGGAGGGGCAAAAAGCCGCGTATAACATCAAGAGGAGTTTGGAATGGCAAACTGACCTGCATTTGTGCCTTTTTAACGTTGGCATTGACCACGGCTGCCATATAGCTGAGAGCAGCTTCCCGCGTTTCTCCGTTGAGCAGAATACTGTGCAGGATCTTGAATAACTCTTGCTAAAAAGTTTGACAAAGCAGGGGAAAAAAAAAAAAAAACCAGAACGGTTTTTTTTTTTTTTTTTTACACAAACACACACACAGACATACAATGTACTTTTTTCTGAACAGAGTATTTGGCCGGTTCACAAATTTAAACAGATTTTAATCATTTCAAAATTACAAACAAAAATTACTAAATTACAATCTCTATACTTCCTTTTTGCCGTAATATTTATTCACTCTATTTTTTAAAAAAACCAATATTACCCTTCATCCTAACCCCTAATCTTAGCCAAGTTTCAATTTTTCCCTTCCATTTTATGTTGTACCCCTCAAATTTAAAATCTCACCTAATATGATTCCTAGTAATTCCTTATATTCCTTTATTATAATTACTGATGTTTTCCCTTGTAATCTATCTCAATATCCATCACCTTAGTACAAATTAATTAATTATGTGGTGTTACAATCATTCATTTCTTATAAAAATAATAAACCCAATTGTTTTGTAGCATACAAAAAGACAGAAAGGAACTGAGGCAGGGGTGAAATGCTCTTGGTTCGGACCGGATCGCCCGATCCGGTGGCAATGGAGGCGGGTGGTTCGGAGAACGGGTAGCAAAAATCCCTGGGGGCCCCCCCATGCCCAGCTGAACCACGCGATCATCAGAGGCTTTTTTTCTTTTAAATGCCTCTGATGATCAGGCAACTCAGGTGGGATTGTCAGAGCCTTTTGAAAGCATTATTTTACAACCAAGAGGTTGTAGAAAAAATGGTTTAAAAAGTTTTTTTAAAAATGGCCACGCCCACCCAGTCACATTATCTCCCCCAACCAAGCCACGCCCACAGAACCGGTAGTAACAAATTTTAGATTTCACCACCGAACTGAAGGTGCAGCTTAGCTCACTTTTAAGGCAGGCGTTACCTATCCCAAGAATCCCCAGCCTGAAGCCGCAAGGATTCCCTTAATGTAATCCTGGAGGGATTGGTATGAACGTACCCATCTTAAAACAAGCAGCACTATCTCTCACAAGACAGATAAATGCAGAGAGGGAGTGGGAGGAGAGGAGAGGAATTCTTCCATTTCAATTCAGGGCTATAAATTTCTGTGAGCAATTGACCTCCCTTCCCCACCCCCACCCCCCCAAAACCAAAGTGAAAACCTGAAGTTTCGTCTTCAGCACACACCTACCCTGGCAGATTCCAGGTAATGTTGCAATGACTGGCTAACGACCCGCGTGTTTTCCAAAGTAATGGTAGGCCCCGAGAAATATTTTTCGACAACTCTAGGCTGCAAAAGGCAAAACGACACATAACGTCAATCGCGAGCGGCAATGCCAACACAATTTGCTGCACAAACCTTCACAAAGGGGTCCATTTTGTGCTCGTTTCTCTGGCCCTCGGCTATAACCTGCTCTCTCTTTAACCCGCAACCTTTCTGAAGACAAGAAAAGTAACTGGTGCATATATTTTTCCACCCTTCTTCCGATGCTCTTTCCCAAATTAAATAAAATAAATAGACTCATTTTCGCAAGGAGACACACCCATCTATGCACACCTCCCTCTAGCTCACTGTTGTCCAAGCTTGGCCCCTTTAAGACCTGTGGACTTCAACTCCCAGAATACCCCAGTCAGCCACACCCCTGAGCTAGAGGGAGACATGCGTAGATGCTGGCTGGGGAATTCTGGGAGTTGAAGTCCACAGATCTTAAAGGGGCCAAGCTTGGACAGCCCTGTGCCAGCTCAGAATGCCTGTTTTCCCAGCAGAAGATGCCACAAGGTGCCCCAGAAGCTGGCAGGAAGGACTCTCGAACTGGTCAGTCTGCTTTACTCGGGGCAATTTATTTATTCATTTATTTATTAGTTCCATTTATATGCCGCCCTTTCTCCAGAGATTCAGGGCGGCTTACAAGGCGTTAAGCAATAGCCTCCATACTTTTGTATATACTTGCTTAGTAGGGCTCAATGGTTTGATTTGACGAGCCATTCTTTGAGAGAGGCCTTTTACTTCCTTGTCTGAGCCCGCTGCTCGACACTTAGAATAACAGAGTTGGAAGGGACCTTGGAGGTCTTCTAGTCCAACCCCCTGCTAAGGCAGGAAACCCTACACCCCTTCAGACAAAAGGTTATCCAATGTCTTCTTAAAAACTTCCAGTGTTGGAGCATTCACGACTTCTGGAGGCAAGTTGTTGCATGGATTAATTGTTCTCACTGTCAGGAAATTCCTCCTTAGTTCTAAGTTGCTTCTCTCCTCGATTAGTTTCCACCCATTGCTTCTTGTCCTGCCTTCGGGTGCTTTGGAGAATAGCTTGACTCCCTCTTCTTTGGGGCAGCCCCTGAGAGACTGGAAGACTGCTATCATGTCTCCCCTGGTCCTTCTCTTCATTAAACTAGACAAAACCCAATTCCTGCAACCGTTCTTCATATGTTTTAGCCTCCAATCCCCTAATCCTCTTGGTTGCTCTTCTCCGCACTTACGTCATCCTCAGCGAAGACGGAGAGGCCGAAGAACACCCCAAGGTAAGAGAGTCTCTGGAGCTCTCGGCCCATCCCGGGGCTTAGAGATTTTGGCAACCACAAAGGCAAAGAGACCACCTGGAGAGAGCAGAGAGATCCCCCCCCCCCCCAAAAAAGTGAGCCGGATAAAGGCTGGATGGTCAGATCATTCTGCCTTGGGGTTTCCGCGTCCATTGGCAGAATCCCGCGAGGATTCGTCGGTTTCCCCACTTACCAAACTGCAGACAGGATGCGATTTCCCAAACTTGATCTCGCAGAGTTCCCCTAAAGCCTGGGAAGGAAGAGAAGGGGAGCCCAGGATTCAGACTTTCCTTTCTGGATTTCAAATCTTTTGTCAGTGCACAACATACCATATTTTTCAGAGTATAAAACGCATCCCCCCCCCCCTCCGGTGAAGTCAGCAGGGTTATTGCCGCTTTAAGAAGCTGTCTATATAAGGGGAGGTCATGAGAGGGCGTCTCCCTCTTTCCTCGTGTATCACTCTCCTCGTGGTGTTCTACCACGTGTATGTCTGTATATATATATTTATTATTTATTTATTATTCAAACTTCTATACCGCCCTTCTCCTTTCGGACTCAGGGCGGTGAACAGCCAAGATAAAAAACATTTATACCTAAAGTTAAAAATAGATTTAAAATAATTAAATAAATTTGGCCCGTAATTTAAAACTTATCAATTTAAAAATCCGTATCAAATTTTAAAACCAACCCTAAAATCAGGACAGACCGGCTAACTGAAAAAAATAAGTTTTTAGGGCCAGACGAAAAGTCCGGAGGTCGGAGATCACTCGTATCTCTGGGGGTAGATTGTTCCAAAGGGTAGGTGCCACCACAGAGAAGGCTCTCCTCCTGGGGGTCGCCAGCCGACATTGTCTGGCCGACGGCACCCTGAGGAGGCCCTCTCTGTGGGAGCGAACTGGCTGGGGGGAGGCTATTGGTGGCAGAAGGCGGTCCCGTAAGTACCCCGGCCCTAAGCCATGGAGCGCTTTAAAGGTGATCACCAACACCTTGAAGCGCATCCGGAAGTCCACCGGAAGCCAATGCAGCTCGCGCAGGAGAGGAGTCACATGGGAGCGCCCTGTCGCTCCCATAATCCCCCGCGCGGCCGCATTCTGCACCAGTTGGAGCCTCTGGGTGTACCCCAAGGGGAGCCCCATGTAGAGAGCGTTACAATAAATATAGACATCTTGTATATAAACCACTGTTTGTAATGACAAAACCTCTGTGTCCTGTATTTTGCTCCTGGGTTGTCTCAAAATAGCAGTCATGCTGTAAACACTCTGATATCCAATATTTTAAAAAATCAGCAAATGCAGTCCATTAAAAGTCTTCCTTCCTTTTGTGCTCCATTTGAACCAGTAAGATTTGGGAGTTTTCTTTGGCAGAGAAATATTTCATTACGCAAGCCCTTTGTCAGGTCATCTAAACCCCGCTGAGAGGGGCTGCCACAAATGTTAAGCATCCGGCTTACAACCGTACGAGCAGGTGCTTCCGATACTCACCATAAGGGGGTATTTAAAGTTGTCACTATCAAAGGAGCATTCTTTTGAAGCAAGAGCCAGCCCTTGTAAAATAGGTACAAAGATCTGTTGGGAAGGAGGAAAAGAAGAAGAATTAGGTGGCTTCTTGGCTTCCATTTGGAGAAAAGAGTCAGTCCTAAGGGTGAACTAACTAAGGGCAGCCTAAGATACCAAAAAATCTTCAGCTCTAGAAGATTTTTAGTTCAACAGGCTAAAAATGTACAGTGATAGTTGCAGACTCCACCAACACGTTGTTTTCGCTCAGGCTGTGGTACGTATGGCGTTCAAGAACTACGCTAGCCTTTTTTTTCTTTTTCTTTTTTTTACCTGTTTGAAGACTTCTTCATCTTGGTGAGTCGTCCTCACCAATTCCTGGATGAAACCGAAGGGGAGATTCCTACAGAGCATATACGGGACTAACAACGACTGCTGTTGGTTTGACCTGGGTGCGAGAGACACAAAGGCTTGGTAAAGTCTCCCCGCGTGCCTGAGATAACTCTGAAGCCCAAGGTCCGTGAAAGCTGTTTTCGGCTTGCCTCGGAGGGCAGATACCCGAGAGGTTGAAAGGGGAGATCGAGCAAGGATCGCTTAGTGGCCTCCTGTCCCACTGACCTCAGCTGCGTTAGGGATCCTTGGAGCACCAAAGCCGCGTGAGAAATGCACTGGGATCGGATGTTGCTCAGAAGCTGGCTCACCACCGGCTGGCTGCACATCTAGGAGAGGCAGAAACAGGGCGAGGCAGCCCATCTTTCACCCTTTAGAGAAGTGTTTTTCCACCTTGACAACTTTCAGACTACAACTCCCAGGAGAGGGGAAGAGGGGAGGGAGAGGGAGACAGGGAGGAAAGGGGGAGAGGAGAGGGGGAGAGAGAAAAGGAGGGAAAGGGAAGATGGGGAGGGAGGAGGGGGGAGGGAGGAGGGGAGGGAACGGGTAAAGGGAGAGAGACAGAGAGAGGAAGAGAGAGGGAGAGAGAGGGGGGAAAGGGAGACAGGGAGGAAAGGGGAAGAGGGAGAGTAGGAAAGAGGGAAGGAGGGAAAGGGAAGGGGAGACGGGGAGGGAGGAGGGGAGAGGGAGAAGGGGAGGGAAGGGGGAAAGGGAGAGAGACAGAGACACGGGGGGGAAAGGGAGAAGGGGGTGGTGTCTCAGCCTCAGCATCTTTAAGATGTACGGACTCCAAATCCCAGAATTCTGGGAGTTGAAGTCCATACATCCTAAAAGTTGTTAAAGTTGAAAAACACCGACACAAAAAATGGTGAGTTACATATAAAGTTCAGATTTCACTTCACACACACACAGCCCATTTTTAAAGAAAGGAAATGAACCTAAAAAGTAAATCAATTGGAGGCGGGAGGCCTGCAAGGAAACGCCAAGGAAAAAAAAATGAGGGGGGAAAAAGAGAGGGTACCTTTGGCGCTTTCCTTTCCTCAATCCCCACTCGGTCGAAGCACTCAATGAGGTAGTTTAGCATCTCCGTCTCCTTGCACGTCTCAATGGCGAAGTGGTCGCTGCACGAGTCGGAAATGCTGGCCCCTCCGGAGCCTCCGCCACTAGGCAAACAAAACAGGGCAAGACGCACCACTGAGTCCAAAGGCTAGAGCGGCCTCCAGAAGCCAGCAAGAAGAAAGGAAGGGAAGGGGAAGGAAGGGCCATGGATTGGGGAGGGGGGCCCCTGCCGGACGGAAACACGGCATAGGGCAAGGCTCATCCCTGGATTGCACACGGCCTCCATGAATTCCCATAAACTTAGCCAGTCCCATCTTGGCTATTACAGCCTGTTCTCCTTAGCCAACAGGTCTATCTGATGAGCCATCATTACTCCATAGGCATCCTTGCGTTCAGTAGGCCCATCCACACAGACCCATATGGTTCCTGGGGAGCGGGTGGGGGGCATCTTGGTAGGGGCTGTGAGAAAACAGCTTGCTCTTAGGAGTCCTTACATCTGCCTCGATGTTTGAGCAACTCTCCCCTCCATTGAGTGAACTCTCTTCCCCTAATAGGAGAGAGGGATTGTGGGAAGGGAGAACTGCTGGGCTGGCATTCAATGGGATGCCAGCCCAGCAACCTGACAGCCTCAATCCAGAATCCTCTTCTCTGCAGGGAGCGAATCGTCCCCAAATCTGGGAGAGTTTGCGTGGCGATGACCCCAGAGGGCCTCGAATTTGGCTGAAGGCCACCGGAGCCCGTCAAGTTCACATCTCCCCCCCATGCAAGGTTTCAGTCTCTGGTCTACCCCCAACCCACGTAGCATCCATTGCAATCTGAGCACATCCTTGCAAAGGACTCGTTTTGGGCACCTGGGGAAGAAATGTGGTGGGGGGACAACAACTCGAGAATGTGATGTCCCACGATGCGGATGGGGTTTGTGTTTGCCCCCAAGTCAAAAATAACAAGCCCACAAGATTGTGTTTTGACCACTGGCTCCTGCGGTCAAAGTATTCTTGGAATAGGAATTGGCGCCTCTATTTCTTCGTGAGATGCCGTTGACTTTTTAAAGGCGCGTAAACCCCGAGACGCCATGTTTGCATGTAACTGTATTTTGGATTTCAGCCCAATTAAGACACATTGGTTTATTATGAGCTTATGGGCTTTTTTCAAGCATAACAAAGCACCGTTATTATTCCCATCCAATTTATTTGCTGCCCATCTCACGGTTGAAGGTGACTCATTGTGTTTTACAGAGGGCCCTCGTGATTCACAAGCTACCATATCACGCTAGCCGTGCCCATAGAAAGAAGTATTGTATTTGCCCGTGCTTTGCTTAAGTGAGTTTGCTCAATTATAATAAACTATAAACGAACAATGCGGGCCAGACTTATACAATGCTTTCAGCCAGTACGGTTGTCTATGTTAGCCTCTCCTATGTAAAACTATGGTTTACTAAGCCCAATAGCTGAGATTATGGCTTAGAGGATTGGATAAAATTAAATTTACACAAACAGATCTAGTTTTCATTGAATTGGGCACCAGCTGAGGCATCAGGGAAGTTCTGGACGATATCCATTGGAGATTTCAATCCTTTTTATGGCCCATTCCCATGTAGCAGATAAGCCAAAACCCTAAAGAAACCATGGCCTCTTAATTGCTCTAGCAATTAAAGCTTCTCTCGTGGGTGGAAATGGCTATCCCGATTGCGTTATATTTCCCGTTTTTAATATATCCAAAACAATAATTCTTTGGCCGGCCGCTCCTTTAACAAGCCAGAGACAAAAGCCAATTTTATTATTTTTTTGGAAGTCATCATGGCGACGGATTTACCATCGGGGTGTGCGCAAGGCATCAAATTTTGTGGAAAGCAAACAGACCACAAGGGTCGTTTCAAAGGACTGACTCACAAAACGACCTTGGGATAATTTGGCACTAAAGAAGAGCCTAGGGAGGAGGAGAAAAAAATAAAATAAAAGATTGTGGGGTAAATGTGTTTATGAAGTGGGAGGGATTTGAAATGAAATGCTGACCAGGAGCATGGGGGGAGGGGGGGAGGAGAGAAGGGAAGGATCTTGAGGACAGAACAAGTCACAAACTCTTTTCTAGAATACCTGGACCCAAATGGCACACAAGAAAAATCCTCCTCCTCCTCTTCCTCATTTTCTTCCTCAGAACTGTCTCCAGAGACATCAGAAATGGCAAGGAAGAGGGAGAAAGGGCTGTCGTACATACTAGTATAACGAAAGCAGATGCGGATGAATGAATACAAGAGAACGGAGGGAAGAGACCCACCCACAGATACACACACACAAACACACACACAAGCTGTTGGGTTTTCTACCAAGACCCATCTTCCACTGCAAGCATGCAGCAAGTTAAATTGGGAAATCAGCCGCACGGGGTTAGGAGCCACAACAGAGTTAAGGCGTGTCCCGGCAAACCTCGGAGGCAAAGCGCGAGCGATCGAGAGAGCTGCCTTCTGGGGAAGATTAACCATGGCAGCGCCCAAGGAATTTAAGGAAAGGCCCAATTCCTGAATAAATGCTTATTGATCTTAACAGCAATGGCTGTTAAGACGTAGACGCCTTCAGCAGAGGCAAGGACCCCACTCTGTCTCCTCCAACCTCCAACTTCTATTCAATCAAGTTCCCCAGAAGGGAACTTGATTGAATAGAATAGAATAACACAGTTGGAAGGGACCTTGGAGGTCTTCTAGTCCAACCCCCTGCTTAGGCAGGAAACCCTACTTCACTTCAGACAAATGGCTATCCAACCTCTTCTTAAAAACTTCCAGTGTTGGAGCATTCACAACTTCTGGTGGCAAGTTGTTCCACGGGTTAATTGTTCTCACTGTCAGGAAATTTCTCCTTAGTTCTAAGTTGCTTCTCTCCTTGATTAGTTTCCATCTGTTGCTTCTTGTCCTACCCTCAGGTGCTTTGGAGAATAGCTTGACTCCCTCTTCTTTGTGACAACCCCTGAGATATTGGAAGACTGCTATCATGTCTCCCCTAGTCCTTCTTCTCATTAAACAAGACACACCCAGTTCCTGCAACCGTTCTTCATATGTTTTAGCCTCCAGTCCCCTAATCATCTTTATTGGTTGATTGCCAGAGGTGTAAGAGTCTTGAGGGAGATACATAACATTGTCCTATCACTAGCTGGAGGGTGAAGATGCCAGCTTGTAAGAGTTTCGCCAAGGCTGAGGATCAATTTTTTTTCCAGACTTTTTAGCGATTGCTCTTCACTGCTATGGAAAAATCCACTGGCCAACCTGTTTCCTTACTCTGGGATTCAAAGAGGATTTCTTTAGAATCACTTGAGAATCTCCAGGAATTCTCTCCCCCAACACAGTTGAATGACTTCTCCTTTGGCCAAAGAATAACTACGCTGCATCCTTTGCTAGTTCAACCTTGGCCACTTGAAGATTTGTGGACTTCATATCTCCCAGAATTCAACAGAGAGCATGACTGGCTGAGGAATTCTGGGAGTTGAAGTCCCCAGTCTTCAAGCGGCCAAGATCGGACACCATTGGCTTCCGAAGTCTGTCTGTTCTCCTGCTCTGTCCCAAATATTGCACGTTGTTTGGCTAAACTATAATCTCACTTGGCCTTTAGTTCAACGAGATGGAAAAAGGAGGGCCATCCCATCCGTCCTGAAAACCGTGATCGATACTCAAGCGGCATATTGTACTTTTATCAATTTATCACCTCTTCCTTTCTCTTCATATTTGCCAACCTGCAAACAGAAACAGTTTTCTTTTTTTTTTTTCCTTCCTGACTGCACGAAGCATCTCGAGATCTCTTGGGCTGAAAAGCAGAATGAAACTTCTTTCTCTAGGTTAGTAAAATGGTATTCCCTCTCTTCCCAATGCCCTGCTCTGGAAAACGCCGCGAATCTTGCCGAAAACACACACACACACACACGGATTCAAAGTCGGGATTAGCGCAGCTCAAAAACGCCATTAAAGGAAGCAAAACCAGAAGGCTCGTTTTAAAAGTGAATGGATTAACCGAAGGCGCTCTTCCAAAATCTAGCCGATCACTGCAACCCAGCAGGGCAAACACACACACACTGAAAAAAAAACCTACACAAATTCACCCAGCTACAGATATACCTAGAGGGCATCCTGCCTGGGGAAGAGGTACGGCTGCTGCCCAACATGGAGAACAGAGGCAGGGTGGTGGCTACGGGTCTACCCCTGGACGAAGGGATCTGTGCAGCTGGAGGACTGGGGTTTATGCCCGGAGGAGTCGAAGAAGCCAAAAGACCGGAGGTTCCTGTTAAGGGTGCGGCAGGAGGAGCTGCCAAGGTCCAGGGGTGTGCCACTGTGTACGGACGGTACCGTGGGGACGAGGGCTGGACACTGAGCGGCCCTGCTGGCAGGAGGTGGGGGCTGACAGACAGGGAAGACACGGGGAGGGGAGCCACGGGGCTGGGGGAAGAAGGGAGAAAGGAGCCGGCCAACGGGGGGTGACTTGCGATGTTGAAAATGGGAATGGGGCTGCTTCCGTAGAGACTGCGGTCAACGAAAGCGGGGAGCAGGAGGGGAAGGAAAAGAGGAGGAAGACAAGAATTGACAACGGGGAAGACCACAAAAATAGAGACGACGATGCAGGAAAGAGAGAGAGAGAAAGAAAAAAAGCAGCCACTCGGTTGAAATTCTTTCACCAGGGAGGGGCGCCTCCATAAAACCCTTCCGGGATCAAACTGCCCCAAATGTTCGGAACTGGCTCTGGAAGTGGGCCAGCTCCATTTTAACGGCAGACCGCTCCGGTTCCCCTGGCTATCTGTTCTGAGGCCAATTCTCCACCGGGGGGCAACATTTGCATAGCAATAGCCCTTAAGACTTATATAGTGCTTTTACAGCCCTCTCTAAGCAGTTTATAGAGTCGGCATATCACACCACCCCAAAAAACCAGGTCCTCGTTTTATCGACCTCGAAAGGATGGAAGGCCGAGTCAACTTTGAGCCTGGTGAGATTCGAACTGCTGGCAGTGGGCAGAGTTAGTCTGGAATACTGCATTCTAACCATTGTACCACAACAGTATCTGTCTGTCTGTCTGTCTGTCTATCTATCTATCCATCCATCCATATCTATTTCTCTCTCTATTCATATCTATCTATATCTATCTATTTATCCATCTATCTATCTATCCATCCATCCATGCATCCATCCATGCATCCATCCATCCATCCATCCATCCATCCATCTCTCTCTCTCTCTATTCATATCTATATCTATCTATCCATCTATCCATCCATCCATCCATCTATCTATCTATCTATCTATCCATCCATACCTATCTATCTCTCTATTCATATCTATCTATATCTATCCATCTATCCATCTATCCATCCATCCATCCATCCATCCATCCATATCTATCTCTCTCTCTATTCATATCTATCTATATCTATCTATCTATCTACCTATCTACCTATCTATCTATCTCTATCTATCCATATCTCTATTTATCTATATCTATCCAAATCTATCCATATGCCTGTCTGTCTGTCATCTATCCATATCTATCCATCCATCGCAATAGCACTTAGACTTATATACTGTTTCACAGTGCTTTTACAGCTCTCTCTAAGCGGTTTACAGAGTCAGCATATTGCCCCCAACAATCTGGGTCCTCATTTTACCGACCCCGGAAGGACGGAAGGCAGAGTCAACCTTGAGCTGGTCAGGATCGAACGTACTGCATCACCATGGCTCTTAGAGACCTTCATCTGGTGGCCTTTTTCTCCCAGGTGTCTCCAAACTGATTTCAGGGGGTCGGGGCTGCTGACCTACCTTGATAAGGAGCTGGAGCCAAACGAGCCCACATTGCAAAACACGGGGCTGGTTCCCGGGTTGGAGCCGGTATTCAGGACTAAGTTTCTATCCGGCGAGCGGGCGGCGGCCGCAATGGGCTGTGACGTGGCGGTCAAACTGGCAAAGGGGTTTTCTTCTCTCGAGTGGGTGGACATCATTAGGACTTCCATCAGCACTTGCCCAATCAAGTCTTTAAAATCCGAGAACACTGAGGGGGAAGAGGGAAGAGGAGAGGGTTACCTGAGGACCCTCCACACATCTCACTCAGCGAAGGGAAATTCAGAAGTGAGTCAACCTGATCTGAACAGGCAGATAGCAGTAGCTGTCAAATCGCCCCCTCTCTGCCTCCAACACAGAGCCTTCATCAGAGCCTCCCCCAGACTCCAGGACTGGCCCATGATCCTCCGCAACCTCCTCACTGTCCGAGTCTGCCACTAGCTCTGCTGACCAATGGCAGGCCACAACAGTCTCCCCGTTATTTTGACAAAAACAAAGCCTCTAGTACAGGCGTGTCAAACTCAAGAGGCCTGCAAGGTGCCGAGATCTGGCCCGTGGAGCCTCCCTCGAAACAGCGAAGGACCGGCCCGCGGTGGCTCTGCCAGCGAAAACAGAGCTCAGGAGCGCCACATGTGGCCCTCCCGAGCTCCGTTTTCACTGGCAGAGGGTTGCAGGAGGCCATCCCAGTCAAAAACGGAGCTCGGGAGCACTCGGGCCACAGGCGCCCCCGACACAAGTGACGTCAAGCTGGCCACACCCATCCTGGCCCTACCCACCCAGGCCCCCCCCAAGGTCAAACACAATCCTGATGCGGCCCTCAATGAAATCGAGTTTGACACCCACTGCTCTACGACCATGTTTTCACCCTCGCATCTTTAAGATGGGTGGGCTTCCAACTCTCAGAATCCTCCAGCTAAGGCTTCCTACTACTGACCGAATGAATTAACTTAAGTGGGTTGTAATGGTTTTAAAGGGGTTTTAGCTAGGGGTTTTAAATACGGCTAATGCTTTAAATTATTTTAAATTGTTTTTAAGTTTTGCGTTCGTATTATTTTACCATGGCTGTACACTGCCCTGAGTCCTTCGGGAGAAGGGCGGTATAGAAATGTAATAAATAATAATAATAATGTTGTGAGAGAGGGAGCCCCCCTTGAATTTTGACACCTCCAAGCCTGACCTAAAAGGGGCTTAATTTAATACAGCTGGCTTTGGTAAGCAAATTGTTTGTTTTTTTTTAAACACATCCAGTGAAAAACAGGGAGGTTTTTCCTTACCGTCTTTAGGGTTCTGCTTGAACTGTTCCGAAAGGGAAGTCAGGAAGATGACGTCTCTATCGCGGTCTTTCCAAGAGACCCGGAAAATCTTACAAACCAGCTGTAAGGCTTGTTCCTCCGAGATTTCCAATCCTGAGGGAGGCTCCTGTAAGGGGAACAGCAGAAAAATACTCAGGGTTAATTTTGCAATTTATGTTTCAAGGACGCAGGGACATTTAGCAAAGCCATGAAAAGCTAACATGAATAATTGAGGACCTGTATACCTGTATACTGCACTGGTCAAGGGGTGGGTGTGAGGATGTTTGCAGACCCCTCGCGTCCTGGACATGAACTGTTTCGACTCCTGACCTCGAGGCGACGCTAAAGAGCACTGCACACCAGAACAACTAGACACAAGGACAGTTTTTCCCCCGAACGCCATCACTCTGCTAAACAAACAATTCCCTCAACACTGTCAAACTATTCACTAAGTCTGCACAACATTAATCTTCTCATCGTTCCCATCACCCATCTCCTCCCACTTACGACTGTATGACTGTAACCTTGTTGCTGGTATCCTTAAGATTTATATTGAATGTTTCCTAATATGACTTGATTGCTTATTTGTACCCTATGACTATCATTAAGTGTTGTACCTTATGATTCTTGATGAATGTATCTTTTCTTTTATGTATTCTGAGAGCATATGCACCAAAGACAAATTCCTTGTGTGTCCAATCACACTTGGCCAATAAAGAATTCTAATCTATTCTATCTATTCTATTCAAATAACAACGGATAAATGCCTTTTTAATTCCTTTTACCCAATGGTGGGATTCAAAACTTTTTACTACCGGTTCTGTGGGTGTTGCTTGGTGGGCGTGGCATGGCTTGGTGGGCATGATAGGGAAGGATACTGTAAAAACTCCATTCCCACGCCACTCCAGTGGAAGGTTACTGCAAAATCCCCATTTCCTCATGATCAGCTGGGACTCGGGAGGCAGAGAATAGATGGGGATGGGGCCAGTCAGAGGTGGTATTTACCGGTTCTCCGAACTACCCTGTTTCCCCAAAAATAAGATATCCCCTGATAATAAACCCAATCAGGCTTTTGAGTGCATGCGCTGAAACAAGCCCTTCCCGAAAATGTATAAACGCAGAGCTGGAAATCAGGTAAGACGGCAAGAGGAGCCCCATCTTGCTCCATGTGCCCCAAAATAATGAGACCTCCCTGAAAATAAGGCCAAGCGCTTATTTCGGGGTTCAAAAGAAATGTAAGACAGGGTCTTATTTTCGGGGAAACACAGTACAAAATCTCCGCTACCGGTTCTCCAGAACTGGTCAGAAGTTGCTGAAATCCATCTCTTTTTTTTTTTTTTAATTTGATTTATATGCCGCCCTTCTCCGGAGACTCAGGGCGGCTTACAATGTGCTAAGCAATAGCCTTCATCCTTTTGTATATTTATACAAAGTCAGTTTATTGCCCCCACCTCTGCTTTTACAGCCCACGTTCAGTGCGTCTCTGAGCACAGGAAAGGGAGGTGAGGGGTGGGTTGTCTCTTAACTCGCACTGGGGAATTGCAAACTCAGAATTAAAATTATATTTGCCCTGCCCAGCAGGAAGGCGTGTTGTGATGTGGCTATTGTAAAGTCTGGTGTTGTGGTGTTTGTGTGTGTACGCATACGCATACACAGATAACAGTTTGGCATAGAGGAGGCTAAACTCAACTGTTTCTCAATCTTGGCAACTTTTAAAGACGGGCGAACTTCAACTCCCAGAATTCCCCCAGCCAACATGGCTCCCTACCGCAGCCAAAAGCGAATACAATGAACAGGCAACGATTTAGAATGGGGCAAAAAGGGAGGCAGCTCCCGAGTCACAAATGCTGAAATCGAAGAAAACATCTCCCAGCTGGGGTTTTGCTAGGCTGACTTTTTCTACAATGGAGCCCTGGTAGCGCAGCAGACTAAAGCACTGTTATTAACACCAGCTGCCTGCAATTACTGCAAGTTCAAATCTCACCAGGCTCAAGGTTGACTCAGCCTTCCATCCTTTCTAAGGTAGGTAAAATGAGGACCCAGATTGTGGGGGCAATAAGCTGACTTTGTATAAAAATATACAAAAGTATGAAGGCTATTGCTTAGCGCATTGTAAGCCACCCTGAGTCTCCGGAGAAGGGCGGCATATAAATCAAATTAAAAAAAAAAAATTATGTTGCTAAGTGAAATCATTGGTTAAGTGAGTTTTGCACTAATGGTGTTACCTAGTTGGGTAATAAAACATTTCCAAGAAAACAAGCAAGTTCACAGAGCACCAAGGACCCCTCATGTCAACTGTGAGCTACAAATATTCTCCTTTATTGATAGCACATTCCTCATTCTGCCTATCCCGACATGCGAAGCAGGAGCTGTTCCAGAATAGACAGGTTAAGGGCCTCTCCGTTTCCCCGCAAGCCCAGTGTGGGGAAAAAAACCCCTCACCTTATCCGAGAGGCTCCGTTTCTCCCTCCGGTCACTCTCATCCACTTCCATGTTTTCGATCCCCGAATCCACATCGACCTGGGACAAGCTGGAAAGGGAGCAGAGGAAGCCTTCAGACCCTCCGAGCCTACAGACCGCTCAAAGCAGTTGCTCAAAGCAAAAACTCTCAGCACAGGAGGGCTTGAAAGGAAAAACAACCCGATGCACACACACACACACACACAAAACACAATTGTGCCATTGGCTATAACTGATGGATAACCAACTGCCCAAACACCGCTTGCTTCGGAACAAGCCAACGTGACTCATGGAGGACAGCTCCAGCGCACTTCGTTTCTCACCCGCCTCCCAGAGCTTGCATTTTGTGGGGGTGTCTACGCAGGGGCTGCCAAGCAGAAGTCAGCCCACGTGTGGGGAGAAACAACATTTTGATTCTGCCTTCCCCCCCTTAAAGCCATTATTCTAAGCTCTGGCTGGGTTTATAAATTCAGCTTATCCGTACACAAAATTGGGACTCGTTCTAGCTTTTCGGAAGACAGAGAGGAAAACCTACAAGGGAGAACCTTAAGGGTTGCAAAAAAAATAAATAAATTAAAAAAAAACCTATTCCTTAGTTTTTTTTTAATTTCTTCCACATGTATTTTCCTCTTCCTGAGATATTTGTTTACTGTCTGGATTTGGGAGTCCAGACTTCCTTTTTTTTTCCCAATCATTTTAAGGCTTACCATGGAGAATCTGAATTGAGGTAGGGAGGCTGATAACCTCCATTGAGAGAAGAGAGCTGGCGATCTGGGCTGCGTTACCCATCGGATGGGGGCGGGGGGTGGCGCAAGGGTTAGAATGCGGTATCGCAGGCTAGCTCTGCCCACAGAGCCAGGAGTTCGATCCTGACTGGCTCAAGGTTGACTCGGCCTTCCATCCTGCCGAGGTCGGTAAAATGAGGACCCAGATTGTTGGGGGCCAGAGATTGAGTCTGTAAACCTCTCAGAGAGTGCTGTAAAGCACTATGGAGCAGTATGTAAAGATAGATAGATAGATAGATAGATAGATAGATAGATAGATAGATAGAAGATAGATAGATAGATAGATAGATAGATAGATAGATAGATAGATAGATAGATAGATAGATGAGATGAGAGATAGATAGATAGATAGATAGATAGATAAATAGATAGAAGACAGAGATAGATAGATAGATAGATAGATAGATAGATAGATAGATAGATAGATAGATAGATAGATAGATAGATAGATAGATAGATGAGATGAGAGATAGATAGATAGATAGATAGATAGATAAATAGATAGAAGACAGAGATAGATAGAAGACAGAGATAGATAGAAGACAGAGATAGATAGTAGAAGACAGAGATAGATAGTAGAAGACAGAGATAGATAGAAGACAGAGATAGATGATATAGATAGTAGAAGACAGAGATAGATGATAGATAGATAGATAGATAGATAGATAGATAGATAGATAGATAGATAGATAGATAGATAGATAGATAGATAGATAGAAGTGGTCAGAATGCAGTATTGCAGGCTAACTCTGCCCACTGCCAGCAGTTCGATCTTGACCAGCTCAAGGTAGACTCAGCCTCCCATCCTCCCGAGGGTCAGTTAAAACGAGGACCCAGATTGTTGAGGCCAATCGGCTTAGAGAGAGTTGTAAAGCACTCTGAAGCAGTAATATAAGTTTAAGTGCTATTGTTATTGTTTGCCACAGGCATGCTAGCTATGGTGGGAAATGAGCTCCAACTGCAGGGCCGCTTTCCAGAGTGAGATGGGTCCATATCAATTGAATAAAATCCTCCTACAACTGTCCACATCAGATAAAGAGACGCTGGGTAAAATCCCAAGAGGTTACGCTAAGCATCTTTCGGGGAACGTCTATCCAAGGCTATCCTGAGCCAGAGACCAGATGAGGGTCCCCCCCACCCCGTACCTTTTCTCGCAGGAGACGCTATCAATATCCATGCTCTGGGACCGGGAAAGGGACTGGGACTGCGTTTCGAGGCTGTTGGAGGGCGAGCTGCTGAGCGAACTCACACCTTCGCTGCTCTGACTGCGATGGGCAACACCTTCGGGAAAGAGGACAGGAAGGAATTTTAGTCAATTCCACTCCCAGTGTGCCCACATGCACAAGCCTGAAGCTGGAAGGGAAAAACACTTTTAGACGATAATCTGTTCCCTAAAAGTCTGTAGAGATTCTCGGTCGTCCAGGTGCTTTTTCAGGAGGAAACTGGACTTCCTTGGGTTGTTTTTTTTTTTTTTTTGGTCTTTTGAATGCGTTTCGCTTCTCATCCAAGAAGCTTCTTCAGCTCTGATGGGATGATGGTAGGGAATGGAAGGATTTACTGTATTTTTCGGAGTATAAGAGGTACCTTAGTTTTTGGGGAGAAAAATAAGAAAAAAGCCGATTGGCGGGTGGATCGGCCTCCCGGAATTTATTTATTTCTTGAACTGTTTTTATATTGTTCCTGACTGTTCCTTGTATTTTTCTACAAACTGGTAAGAAGATTTTATATCCCTGGATTGATCTTATATTGCACTTCATATGGCTAAGACTTGGATTGTTAAAGGACCATGATTTTGCTTTTCCCTAAAAGCAAAATACTATAAAACCCAGTTTGTCTGTATATTATTCACAGTTACTCTCAAAACGTTTCCGTGCGTAAAACTCTTAACGGCACTCTGCTTTATAAACCACAACTTCGGGCGTAACTCAATAATATCCTTAACAGTTACAACGGCACCGAAAAAAGGGACTCGGATATTTTTTTACACTTACGACCGTTGCAGCATCTCTCATTGACTTTGCTTGTCAGGAGGTCGCAAAAAGGGGATCGATCACGTGACCCGGGACACTGCAACGGTCATAAAGGGGAATCTGTTGCCAAGCATCTGAACTTAAATCACATGACCATGTTGTAAGTGTGAGAAATGGTCATAAGCTGCTTTTTTCAGCGATGTTGTAACTTTGAATGATCACTAAAGGAACTGTTGTAAATCGAGGACTTTTCTCTCATTAGTGCACCTTGCCTTCATCGAGCGGACGGCGATATATGGCTCAGAACAGGAAGTCAGCAAAGCGGAAACGAAAGCTACTCGGTGTTTCCCAACCTTGCAAACTTTCTGATGTGTGGCCTTTACTACCCAGAATTCCCTAGCCGGCAAGGCCGTTGCTGAGAATTCTGAGCGTCCCTTCTTCTGAAACTTACCAAGATAGAGAAGCACGACTAGAAATTCAAGGAAAATTTATGTTTAGTGGAGATTTATGTTCTCCACTATACCTCCCCCATTTTCCATTTTTTTACTCCTCCAGCCAATTCCTGTGAATTAACTTGATGCTGGTGCAAACATTTAAGTTTAAAGCGTAAAGAAACCAGAAATCCAAGTTCAAATGGAATGCCAGCATGTACCGTGTTTCCCCGAAAATAAGACCCAACTGGAAAATAAGCCCTAGCATGATTTTTTAGGATGCTCGTAATATAAGCCCTACCTCCCAAAATAAGCCCTAGTTAAGATTGTCAGCCATATGAGCACATTTAGCACTGTGTTTTCCCAAAAATAAGACCTAACCAGAAAATAAGCCCTAATGACTCTTTTGGAGCAAAAATGAATATAAGGTCTTATTTTCAGGGAAACACAGTATTTTTTTTTAAAAAAAAATCCTATCTGTTCTTCTCATATAAGGCAAGGGTTTTCTGTAGGTCAACCAACCACCCCAATACAGCGTCCCCCTCAATTGTAATCACTCTGCTACCATCATCCCCCGTCAGTTTGGCTATTTTGACAACATTGGGAACTGTAGGACGGCGAAGGTGTCAAACGAAACCTTAAATACTAATAAGTCTTCTCTTTCCTGCGAGCTGCTTAGAATCTCAGTGACTGAAGTGGCATCAAAGCCTTTGTAAATAATTTTTTTAAAAAATTATAGTTTAGTGTGCCATCAAGACTATTTTTAAACCCTGTGGGAACAAGTTGGCTTTAACAGGCCAGGCAGCACATTTAAGAGTGTTAATAAGATAAAAGGAAAGAAAGGAACCTTCTTTCTAATTCAGTGTCACATCCCAATTAATCAAGCACTTAAAATGTTTTAGCTCTGGAATGAACAGTATGTATGTGTGTGTGTGTGTGTGTGTGTGGCATTCTCTCTCTCTCACACACACACACATCTACACAAATTACATACTCAGTAATTTGTCCTAAGAGCAATTATCCCCCAACTCTTTCTAAACATGTTCCTCTCCTCTCGGTAAACATGAACCTGACATTCCAAGTGGGTCAAACCGATTTGAGGCCAAACCAAGGGAGAGGCTGCGCATGGAGAAACCTCGATTATTATATCACCTCTCAATGACAAGGTCAATCTGCTGAATGGCTGCTTAAGCAGACAGCAAGAGGGAGGGAGGGAGGGAGGGAGGAAAGGAATGAGGAGGCAGCTGCATGGCTTGCTTGGCTAAGCAGCCAGTTCCTTCACCTTCAAGGCCAGCTGTTCTGCAGGCTACAGCAATCTCTATGGGAGAGACTGTAGTTGTCAAAACTAGCCAGGTTACCCTACTCTCATATTCAGACAGGAGCTGCCTGGCTTCCCGCATTGCTTCGAAGATGGCTTGTATGGTTTCAGTTTAGCGTTGAAACAAGCCATGATAGGCTGTAAAATCTGGCCGACGGCGGAGCGCAATGCTCAAACCCAGCATTTAATTTAATTTCTTTAAACTTTCTTGCTCGCTTCCACGAAATGACAAGGAAGCCCGGCAGCTTCCTTACAGCTCTGTTAAACCCTAATTCACACGTCCCATGTTGGCCCTGCAGGAAAAGCCAAGATTTCTCGAGAACCCCACGAAAAAAAGGGAAAGCCGGCACGGTTTTTCTCACCTCCAATCTATCCTGGAGAATTGGCATCAAGCTGGCAGTGGCTTACCTGACGCACCGATTGGAGAGGTAGCAGGGGTCATACTGTGAACATTGAGCCCAAGGTTGTGGGGTGCCCCTGAAGACGACGCTGGGACCGGCTGCCCCGGGGGGTTCTCCCTTTGCGGAGACGTAAGTGGGGTGGTGGGCTGGGAAGAGGGTCCGCCAGCAAGCCGGGCAAGGCGCCTCCGACGGATCTGCATAAAAACCAGGAACACCGTGAGTTACGAAGAGCCGCGATGGCGCAGTGGTCAGAGTGCAGTATTGCAGGCTACTTCTGCTGACTGCCGGCTGCCTGCAATTTGGCAGATCGAATCTCAGCAGGCTCAAAGTTGACTCAGCCTTCCATCTTTCCGAGGTGGGTCAAATGATGCCCCAGATTGTTGGGGGCCAAGAAGCTGGCTCTGTAAACCACTTAGAGAGGGCTGTAAAGGACTGTGAAGCGGTATATAAGTCTAAGTGCTATTGCTATCTTCCTTCCTTCCTCCCTCCCCACCCCTTTCCTTCCCAGTGGTTAGAATGCAGTATTGCAGGCTAACTGCCCACTGCCAGCAGTTCGATCCTGACCAACTGGCTCAAGGTTGACTCAGCCTCCCATCCTTCCGAGGTGGGTAAAATGAGGCCGCAGATTGTTGGAGGCCAAAAGGCTGACTCTGTAAACCGTTTAGAGAGGTCTGTAAAAGCACCCTGAAGCGGTATATAAGTCTAAGTGCAATTGCTAATGCTACTGGATTTCAGACCTTCAGAGTTCCAGAAGGTCTTGGACAATGTCTGCCTTGGCTTTCAAAAACAGACCTGACGACCAGGGTAGAAGGTCAAAGGCAGAACGTTTAATAAGAATTCCAAATTTCAGGAAGCCATTCAACACCCTTCCAAACAGCTTCGACCCACTTCAAACCATACCTTCATCTGCCCCAGTGACAGGCTTTGTCACTGGCAAAGAGCCACTTTCATTCCAAAATTCCAAATTCTTAACCACGCACCACCACCCGTCCCCCTTCCCCGAGAGAATCACAAACAACATTTTCCCGGAAATGGATACAGCACATGAGGAAAACATGTTGCGGTGTCCATGCCTCTGCTCAGAGGAAGCTCTATTATTAGAAACCAAGCAAGGTCTCCCCTTAAAGCCTTACGCAACAAGTCCAACCCATCCTGCTTTTTCATCTTTTGAACCTGGGAGAGAAAGACTCTCTCCCATCCTTGTATTTAGTATTTAGACTTAGAATTCTTTATTGGCTAAGTGTGATTGGACACACAAGGAATTTGTCTTTGGTGCAAATGCTCTCAGTGTACATAAAAAGACAAGGTACGTTCGTCAAGAATCATAAGGTGCAACACTTAATGATAGTCATAGGGTACAAATAAGCAATCGTATCATACTAGGAAACAATGATAGATAGATAGATAGATAGATAGATAGATAGATAGATAGATAGATGGATGGATGGATGGATGGATGATGGATGGATGGATGATAGGAAGGAAGGAAGGAAGGAAGGAAGGAAGGAAGGAAGGAAGGAAGGAAGGAAGGAAGGAAGGAAGAAGAATTCTTTATTGACCAAGTGTGATTGGACACACAAGGAATTTGTCTCCGGTGCATAAGCTCTCAGTGTACATAAAAAGACAAGATACATTCGTCAAGAATCATAAGGGACAACACTTAATGATAGTCATAGGGAACAAATAAGCAATCGTATCATACTAGGAAACAATATAAATCGTAAGGATACAGCAACAAGTTACAGTCGTAAGTGGGAGGAGATGGTTGAGAGGAATGATGAGAAGACTAATAGTAATAGTAATGCAGACTTAGTGAATAGTTTGACAGTGTTGAGGGAATTATTTGTTTAGCAGAGTGATGGTGTTTGGGGAAAAAAACTGTCCTTGTGTCTAGTTGTTCTGGTGTGCAGTGCTCTATAGCGTCGTTTTGAGGGTAGGAGTTGAAACAGTTTATGTCCAGGATGTGAGGGGTCTGTAAATATTTTTACAGCCCTCTTCTTGACTCGTGCAGTAGACAGGTCCTCCATGGAAGGCAGGTTGGTAGCCATGTTTTTTTTCTGCAGTTCTAATTATCCTCTGAAGTCTCTGTCTGTCTTGTTGGGTTGCAGAAACAAACCAGACAGTTATGGGGGTGCAGATGACAGACTCAGTAGTTCCTCTGTAAGGGGCAAAAAGGAAGGTAGCTTTTCACAAGCTCCTTTCTTAAAATCCCACTTTGCCCACGTTATCCGACGCCCCAAAGTGGGCGAAAGGTTTTCAAATCTTTCATAATGAAAGATGTGTTGTTTCCGTTCTGTAATACGTACATTTCACAAGTTAAAAAGTCCACCTATCCAGGTTGAAGGGAGCAGAACTCAAGAGGCTCACTCATTATACACTTACAACCATTTGCTTAAGTGACGGTTCGAAGTTACGACGGCACTGAAAAAGTGACCTAGGATCATTTTTCACTCTCACAACTATTGCAGCATCCCCTAAGGTCAGGTGAGCAAAATCCAGGCGCTTGGCAACTGAGAGATATTTATGACGGTCAGAGTGTCCCGGGGAGTCATTTGATCCCCTTTGACCTTCTGTCAACCAAAGTCAGTAGGGGAGCCAGCTTCACTTAACAGCTGTTACTAATTTAACAATTGTAGTGATTCCCTTAACAACTATGGCTAGAAAAGGTCATAAAATGGGGCAAAATTCACTTAACAACTGTCTCGCTTACCAACAGAAATTTTGAGCTCAATTGTGGTCCTAAATCAAAGACTGCCCGTATGAAAATTTCATTATTTCTGGAATAACTGATAGGACACTCTGTGTTGGTGGCAACATTTAGCACAAAGTTATGAACTTGTGGCAAGGGACGCGGTGGCTCAATGGCTAAGATACTGAGCTTGTCGATCGAAAGGTCGACAGTTCAGCGGTTTGAATCCCGAGTGCCGCATAACGGGGTGAGCTCCCGTGACTTGTCCCAGCTTCTGCCAACCTAGCAGTTCAAAAGCAGGTAAAAAAACAATGCAAGTAGAAAAATAGGGACCACCTTTGGTGGGAAGGCAACAGAGTTCCGGGCGCCTTTGGCATTGAGTCATGCCAGCCACATGACCATGGAGACGTCTTCGGACAGCACTGGCTCTTCGGCTTTGAAACGGAGATGAGCACCGCCCCCTAGAGTCAGGAACGACTAGCACCTATGTGCGAGGGGAATCTTTACCTTTACCTTATGGACTTGGAGTGTTTTGTCTACAGGAAGATGACACAACTTTGGATGACTCACAGAGAAAGAGGGTTATAAGCCCGTTGCAGGAAGCACAGAAAAGTACCACAATAAAAAGATGCGGCCACTGACCAAAATTTAGGTCAAGGTAGTTTGTTTTTATCAAGAATGTCACTGAAAGCTGACTCAACTCATAGAAAGTAGGCTGAAATTATTATTTTCCTGCCTGTCTTGAATAGAGTCTGCTGCCCTTCAGGCTGGATATTTCTTGGCCAGAAAAATACGTTAAAAAGGAACATTTTAAAAATGTTAAAAACGGACTTATCCTTGGCCAAATCACGGGACTGGCTAATCCAATGATTCCTAATCTTTGTACGGCCTGGGTGTAAGGCCTTCAACTACCCCACTCCTATTGAGTAGGCTCAATGCTGGCGAGTTATGGAAGTCCCTACATCTGGGAGTTGCCCAGAACTCAACAAACGTTCTTGAGAACTTTCGGTCAGTGTTTCTCCTGCTCAATTTGGAACGATCAGGTGTCGAGATACAAAGTAGGAGTCAACCATAAAGCTCAAGAGACGGCAACGAGGGGCATTGCTTCAATATGAGGAGTAAGAGCCTTGGTAGCGCAGCAGACTAAAGTGCTGTTAAGTAACACCAGCTGCCTGCAATTACTGCAAGTTCAAATCTCACCAGGCTCTAGGTTGACTCAGCCTACCATCCTTTCGAGGCAGGTAAAATGAGGACCTCGATTGTGGGAGCAATAAGCTGACTTTGTATAAAAAAGAACACCGCTTAGGGGGGCGAAAGCCCTACTAAGCAGGTATATATAAAAAGCATGAAGGCTATTGCTTAATGCATTGTAAGCCACGCTGAGTCTCTGGAAAAGGGCGGCATATAAATCGAACCAATCAATCAATCAATCAATCAATCAATCAATCAATCAATCAATCAAACCATCCTTCATCTAACTCTAGGAAGAGCTCTCCAGGATTAAAATTCAGATCAGGGCTCCTTTCAAGAGATTGCCAAGGATTAAACCTAAAACTGGCTTGAAGTAGGGCTCTGAATGAGCTACTTGAAATTTTATTTTATTTTTTTTAAACTGGCACTGTTAGGGAACGCTCCCATCAGAAACTGTACGCTACTACCCCCAAACTTCATCTAACCCTAATTCTGAACCACTTCCGCGTAAAAGGTTTATTTGACCTTTGTTCAATGACTTCTGTTTTTCCATGCCACAACTCCTCTTCTGGGACCATTGGGAGATGTAGAAACATTTGGTGACACAATATAAAGATGGGCGGAAAGCGCTCAGGGCTTGTCCACAGGAAGTAATGAGATGAGAGCTGTCCAGTCATGGCTGGAAAAGGGGATATTATTCCACCTACAAGCAGAGGCATCATAACTGAAATGACTAACCCAGAGCTTAGTCTTTTACCCAATCAACTTAAATTAAAAAGATAAAAGGTTCCCCTCGCACGTATGTGCTAGTCGTTCCCGACTCTAGGGGGCGGTGCTCATCTCCGTTTCAAAGCCGAAGAGCCAGCGCTGTCCGAAGACGTCTCCGTGGTCATGTGGCCGGCATGACTCAACGCCAAAGGCGCACAGAACGCTCTTACCTTCCCACCAAAGGTGGTCCCTATTTTTCTACTTGCATTTTTTTTTTACGTGCTTTCGAACTGCTGGGTTGGCAGAAGCTGGGACAAGTCACGGGAGCTCACCCCGTTACGCGGCACTAGGGATTCGAACTGCTGAACTGCCGACCTTTCAATCGACATGCTCAGCATCTTAGCCACTGAGCCACCGTGTCCCCCTCAACTTAAATTAGCTACTCTTATTTACCATTTAAAGCATGTCCTCTCTTTCTCGCCTGAAAGGCTCCCAGGGTGATTGACCTTATAATAAAAACCCTAGACTGGTCACTCAAAAAGGCATTACGCAGACAGCAGGAAAGGATGGAAGAGAGAGGGGGAAAGTACGACAGATATTGTTGTA